GTTGGCATATTTTACAATGACGTCTCTTAATATATTTTAAACAAACATAATATTGCTCAGTCATTGCCATAAAGGGACATTAATGGGTCAACACCCCTAAAGACATGTTCATCTTCAGAGACAGTCACACAAGCCCCAAGTAGTGACGGAAGATAACTGCAATCCCTGCTATTAAAAGACCAGCTGCCACAGCCAACTTATGCCTATAGATAAACATTCAGACACCATGGCACTTCGAGCATCCAGCCAAGTAGCTTTTTTACGATGTGACGGAAAGGCACAGAAATGCCACGAAGAAACACAATACTCCATTTTGGTGTCCAATGACCTTTTCAGACACGCATACAGATGCCGTGACGTGTTGGTGCAGAGTGTAATAGGAACCGGAGGGCTTGGCAGAAAGAATTCACCCAGGGTCATGGTGAAATGTGTTGTGCTCACATAGTACATGTCAAAAAAAGGGTGGCATTGGCCACTAAGTGATAGTATCTTGCAGAAAAACATCTTCCAATAAATCCTGACACCTAGTGGCCTCTTCTGGAAACATTTAGTAGTCTGAGCCACCATGAGAGTGGTGCCTTCAGTGGGCTTAATTTAAATGCTAATCGGGCCTTTTTCTCTCAAAATACAAACACCAAAAAATAGCAGATATTACATGTTCTCTTTATTAAAAAATAGAAACACCTGCGTGCTGTATTGTACTGTAGTAGTGAAAGCATACGAAAGAAGACAACAAAGGTGACAGTAAGCAAAAACACATGTAGACCAAAACCCTGAGAAATGTATTACAATAATTTGTTTTGTGTCATGTATATAAAGTGTCTATCAATTTCATTCTGATCGTTTTTTTTTATGAAACTACACAAAATGTGTAGTAATGTGATCTGATGTGAGTCCTGCTGTATGAAGCTTGTTTACCTGATCGCACAGTGTGATTCTAGGCAGACTTCTTTGCCTTCTTGTGATGACCTGCCTTGGCTTTTATGTTCTTCACAGTATCTATTTTTTCCTTCTTAATTTTTCTTTTCTTGCCTGCTACCGTCAGTTCCTCTTCATCATTTTCCTCTTTCTTCGGCCCCTTCATACGTAGCATTTCTTTCAGATTTTGGAACTTTTTGAGGTCAGCGCAGAACAACACCTAAAACAAATAAAATACTTAGTGGATATATATCAGACGGATTAAAAGATACAAGACAGAAATTCACAGAGACACAACACTCACCGACTGTGCCCAACCAGCATAAGGACCCCACAGTTTTCTGAAAAAATCCCCTGTGCAAAAATATTACATTTAAAGAGTTTTCAATAAAAAATAACCATTACTATGATGATAATGAGTGTGACACTACAAATATTCTAACGAAGTGCATGACTATTTACCGTACCAATATCTCTATGAAGTTTATCTGTGATAGTCTTCTGTCCGTTACCAGATCCATAGTTGTAGTCACGTTTAGCAATCTGCCACACGTGAGTGTCTATGGGCACGGCCTCTGCCTTATCCAGGGACATCAGACAAACACAGTCTGCCACCTGAAGGAGAAACATTGCCTTAATTGTATCGAAATAACAAAAAAATATGAACTAAAGGATTATTTTTATTGCAGTATGCTACTCTACCTTGGTGCCGACACCAGGAAGGGTGCGCAACGCATCACGGGCCTGCAGATATGGGGCACTGCGCAAACCTTCAAGCCACTGGATCCCATGGGTGTCTAAAATCTGCTTAGCGCTCTGCTGAAGGAACCGAGCCCTGTACCCAAAACCAAGGTCCCTGAGCCGTGCCTCTACGCTGGTGTCTGCCAATTACAGAAAACAACACAAGCATGGTGACAATATGTAGACAATGTAAGTATTCAGCTGTATGCCAGGCCCTCCCATTTGACATTCCTGCCCTCCCCCAATAAACACGATTTTTATTATTTATACAAATAAAAAAAAACTATATATATTTTGTTTAATTATAAATAAACTGTGAACTTTTATGCTACGATGTATGTGATGTCAGATAGTAACTAAAACAAAAAATCGCAGGCTACGTCAAATAAATTCATGTGTCTGTTGTGATTTGTGATTCGTCCACATTTAGACCAATCACAGCGTCACACTCTGCCGCCTATTCTGGATTTGTTTATTGTGCATTCTGTAGACTCCCATTTCTGTTTGAATGACAAAATGGACATCAGAAATTGGCTTAAAAGGTCTAAGGATTTATTAAAACGAAATAGCGATGAAAGAACTGCAGCCGATGCAGCTGCTGGCGACCCTGCACCTGCCGTTGCAGCAGCACGCCTTAATGTCACAAGCTTGACCTCGGCAAACCCCGGGGCTGAGTTAGCGAGCCCAAGCCTTGACTCATCAAGGCGGCCGCCACCAACGCTGTCCTCTGAGGCACAGCTCCTTGTTGCCCCTACCATCACCACCTGCGTTGCCACACCCTGTACCACGCCAGCATCATCATCATCATCATCATCATCATCATCATCATCATCATCATCATCATCATCATCATCATCATCATCATCATCATCATCATCATCATCATCATCATCCTCCTCCTCCTCCTCCTCCTCCTCCTCCTCCTCCTCCTCCTCCTCCTCCTCCTCCTCCTCCTCCTCCTCCTCCTCCACTACAGACGCTACCTTGCAGCACATCAACAGGTACTATTGGGCCAGCAACCGCTCAAAGACCAACAGCCCCAGATGATCTTGGGCTTAATAAACCCAACCAGGTGAAACTGGATCGTTCTACCATTGAACCAAAAATAATATAACAAAACTGAAGGGACAAATTATCTGAATATCATATCACACAGGGGCATAGGACTGTAGGGAAATATAATAATAGAGTACCTGCGAGCGCAGACAGGGAAGGAAAGTTGTGGTAAGAGGTTTGATCCAGTTGGCACAGCGGTGCACCCAGAGACTGACACAGCCTCTCCACCATGCCCTGGATACGAGTGATGTGGTTGTTGGAGGTGCAAATGAAGGAAAACAGGCATTCTGTTGGGTCCTGACGCAGCATCCTTATACCTGGGGAGAGAAAAACAATAGGTGTTAGGATAATTTATTTTGTCTTACTCAAAACACAACCACTGATAAAGAAAAGAAAATACCTGAGTAGAAGAGAAGAGAGATCTTGTGATGCTTTCTCAATATTTTTAGGTGAACTTGGCTCGAAATACGGGTACTGATTTGAATATTATTTACATTTGTGTTAGAATTATCAAGTGTTTTTATTTCCATATTACTTTCCATTCATTATTGCAATCTAGCCCAGTTTTTTTGTTTGTTCTATATCTTTTTTGTTTGTGTAGTAAATTCTGTGCTGCATCTCTTGAATTAAGAAATGCTTTACAAATAAACTGTATTATTACATTATTTATTTTACTAAACAAATACTGTCTCTGTAAAGACCTTCTGTGTAATACGTGTACAATGCATGCACGGATTGCAAGCACTCTGACCTGTGAAGATGTCTGCAATGTGCTTAAAGTGGTGGTCTGCTGCTCCCCATTCCTTGTAAAGGTCCCCCAGCTTTACATTCAGCTGGAAATAATCCCTCAGCATCTCTTCCTCCTCCTTGGTGTCCTGATGCACTGGAGTCACAGCCACTGGCTCCTCTTCCTCCTTCTTCACAGCTTCTTTGAATCTGTTGTCTGACTTGTTTTCCAGCTGAAGAGAAACACCAGCTCCCTTCTTCCTGCCACTTGTCTCCCCTTGCCTGTCTAGGCTTTGGTAAATGTGGTACCAAAGAGTGTCATCTGTCTGAGTCAGAGTCCAAACCCTTCCTCCTATCACTCCTGTCCAGTGGCCTTCTGCAGTTTCTCTCCACCTGTGGGTAGAAATGAGTTAATACAAAGATACACACGAGGATTTCAACTGTATTAGGTCTGTCCAGCAAGTCTCATGTTAATCATGATGCTGACAGACTACATCTGAGCTAGACAAAACTTACCGGAAAGATTGTCCGCATGCAAGAGTAAGATCCAGACGCAGCTCTGACTTTGCACAGGCCAGAGATCTCCATAACTTCGCCCCCGATGACAGCACTGTATGTTTAGCCATACCTGTTGTTGTGATGCTAACAGTTAGCGTGTTAGCGTTTCAGAGGTAAAAACAACTGAACACATACCTACCATAATGTCCGAGCATTACAAAACCAGTTAAATGTTATTCAGTATATGTGCCTGCTCGAAAGTAAGACTACACCTTATTGTACAATAATTGTAAGCGGAGCTACAACTTCATTCATGACTTCAGTGCGCGGTTAATGTTTACAAAAATCAGGATAAACTTTCGCGGAGTTGTCTCAGCGAGCGTCGATACTGTTGGACAACAAAAACCTTACACCGCGTTACAAAGGCAAAGATGCTCATATTTCAGTGCAGTTTTTGCGTTTACGTGCTTGTATTCTCTAAAACAAAAGCTTATCTGACATAAATAAGAAGAGTTGGTACGTTGTGGGTTATCTGTCGCCACTTTTGTTTTGTTTTACTATCTAAATACGCACTTTTTTTGTTTTTAAAGACTCTCCAAATAACCATAACCCTAACCCCTAGGATTAATGTTTGTTCCATGTTTGTGCTTTTGAGAAATGAAAAAGTTCGTGAAGGAACATGAATGGGAAACGGGTCTGACAACTGTGAATTAATTAAATTCAGCGATAGTATCTTTGTTCAATTTTAAGATGAATTTCTTTAACTTAATTGCGGAAGAAAATTGTCTAAAATTCCGGTTTATGTCCAAAAACATAACTTTCCAAGAATAAAAGGAGTTGGGATTGAATTGACTGAAATGACAAACTGATGCAACATTTCACAGATCCCGGTAGCCCTTCCTACACTGCTCTGCTGTCAACACAACTGCTGATTGGCTCTCTCGTTCAAAGTGGGCGGGAAAATCAATCGAGCTCATTCCCAATTGGTCAAGGCTATCCGTGCTGCGGTTTCCTATTGGCTATTATTTGTGTTCTTCATTTTTACTTTGAGGTGTACAGGAAGTTTACCCCTCCCTCGCTCTATCTCTCCGAGAAGGAAAGTCGTGTGTTGCCACGGCGTGTCAGATCGGTTCTGATCCAACCGGTTAATAAGGTTGAAAAATGGCGGATATTTTAGCACTTTTCACTTCCATAGGTCTCAGTGAGCAGAAAGCGAAAGAAACCCTAAAAAATGAAGCGCTGAGTTCCGCTCTGAAGGAGGCAATTATTCAGGTATGACCGACTTTTATAGGGGAACTGGATTTCCTGGAGAGACAGCTGTGAAATGAGACTTGCATTTATTTTTAAACTCGTAGTATCTACCCTTTTTTATCATTTGTCTTTTGAAGCTGCTCCATTTAATGGTTTAGAGTTACCTACCATTGTGCACGTGTCTCATAACTTTTGAGTAGTAATAGTAGTAGGTCATTTTTCTTTCATTTTCACATTCTTCAGGTTGGAGGCAGACACTCCTCCCAGGGTCAAGATAACACAGGCCATCTACAGGTCATTCCCACCTTTTGAAGGATTAATCTAATCATTCTGATCTTTTTCTTTTTGTTTACAATAGGCCCATCTTGTCCGTGGGGCATCAGGAGTGGACAAAGCCATGGGTACACTGCTGTACAGTATGGCATCTCGCCTTAAAGACCCGAAACGCGTGGGATTTCTTTCAGACTGTATAGTTCAGAGCAAAATCTGCACAGAGCTGCAGCTAGCAGGTAAATTCTGACGTCTTTGACATGTTGCAAGCTGACTGGTCAACAAAATGTAAACATCAGCTAAATGCAATGTAATGTAAACATGCAACATTAATCACCTCTAATGGATTGTAATTTTTTCAGACTGATCCCTAACACAAGAGAACAATTGTAGAAGTTCATTGCTTTGGATTTATTAACCACTGTGCCTTCCTGCTTCATACATTTTTCTTTTTTTACAGCTGCACTGGAATTTGTTAAGAGTCACCCTCAGGACCCCATCAACCAGAAGGAGTTTGAAGACACATGTGGAGTAGGCGTGTTCATAACACCTGAGCAGATTGAAGAAGCAGTAAGTCCATGAGCTCAAATACTCCAAAGTCTTTTTACTTGCTTTTCTGAGGGTGGTGTGTTCACTGACAGTGTGATCTTGTGCAGGTTGAGTCTGTGATCAAGAAGCACAAGGAAAAGCTGTTAGTGGAGAGGTTCTACTTCAACATGGGACTGCTAATGGGTATGATGTCATATTTGCGTAGTTATGTTTGGACAACATTAAAGCTTTACAAACAGATAGAATATCTCACCAAGCATTTTTGTGTTGCAGGAGAGGCACGTTCTGCCCTAAAATGGGCTGATGGAAAGGTCATCAAAAATGAAGTTGACTTGCAGGTGTGTTTTAAAAAGAAAATATTGTTAGAGGTAGTTTTTTATTGTGATTGTATATTTGCTTCTGAGGTTTGGTGATTCTCACTGTATACTGGAACTTAATACAACTTTTGTCCTGAAGGTCCTACACCTCTTAGGACCCAAGACTGAGGCTGACCTGGAGAAGAAAGCTAAGGTAACACACATCAGAACATTTTGAAAAAGTTCAGCATTACTGGAAATGTTCTTACTTATTTTCTTTCTGCATCCAACTCAGTCAGACACATAACCTACATGTTGAATCACTGCTAAATTAACACAGTACTTCCCTTTTGTGCAGACTAAACAAACTTGATACAACAGAGATTAGGTTTGCTTTATTGGCCCTAGTATTACGATTTTAATACCTTTTGGGTGAAGCCAGGCTAGTTGTTTCCTCTTGTTTCCAGTCTTTATGAAAGCAAATCATTTTATATTCCAAAATGTCTTATTATACTATTAGTCACTGCTTGTACTCTTTGGATTTAATCTGTGGTTAATATCGAACTGTTTTGCAGCCTCAGAAGGTTAAAGTCGCAGAGAATGATGTAAAGGCGAAGAAGGAGGAAGGGGCAGTGAATGGTAGGTGGCTAGTAATGTAGATTGCTGGTTGAAGTGACATTTATTCTTTGTTTGTGTCTGGCAGTTTGTTTGTTTTTAACTGTGCTTGTTGTTTTTTTAGCTGAGGTGAAGACTGGGGAGGTGAAGTCACTTATGGAGCAGCTCCGAGGAGAGTCACTGAAGTTCCATAAAACAGGTGAGAAGAAACCACCTGAACAATCAGAAGCAGAAGCATCTCTGCTACACTCTGTGAAGAGCACATTTAGGGATTTACTTACCCAGTATGTTGATCACCCCTGCTTTTCATCATACAGGAGAGAACTATAAAAGTGAGGGCTATGTGGTCACACCAAAAACAATGGACTTGCTTAAAACGCACATGGAAATCACTGGCGGACAGGTACAAACTTTATATGTGTTGCTGTGGAGATAAACACCCATACTTTAAAATGGTGTATATTGATTTTTCTCCTTTCCTTTTATAAATTCCTTTAGATACGTACTCGTTTCCCTCCTGAGCCAAATGGTATCCTTCACATTGGGCATGCCAAAGCCATCAATTTTAATTTTGGCTATGCAAAGGTACGTCTTTATTTCCTCTTGTAACCACCACGTAATATTGTGAAGCAGTTTCGTTTAAAATAAGTATTTTTCATTAGGCAAACAATGGAATTTGTTTCTTGAGATATGACGACACAAATCCAGAAAAGGAGGAGGAAAAATACTTCACTGCTATCAGAGACATGGTGGAGTGGCTTGGTGAGTTGGATGCAACCTTTTGTGATTCAAAGCTTCTATTTCACTCTACATTCATAAACGTTTCTTATTAATATTATTGTATGGCACAGGATATGAACCTCATGCGGTCACACATGCATCCGACAACTTTCAGGAACTCTACGACCTCGCTGCGGATCTCATTCGCAGGTGAGTGTATAGACTTTGTGTATATGTTGTTAAATGTGCACTAGCTGGTTAATGATGTTGTAATTGTTTATTTGTCTTCATTCAGAGGTCATGCCTACATTTGCCACCAGAAAGGGGAGGAACTAAAGGGCCATAACGCTCCTGCATCACCCTGGAGAGATCGACCCACAGAGGAGTCGCTGGTGTTGTTTGAGAGGATGAAGAAGGGGCTGTTTGCTGAGGGAGAGGCTACGCTCAGGATGAAGATCGTCATGGAGGACGGGAAGATGGATCCCGTGGCGTACCGAATCAAATACACGGCGCATCATCGCACAGGAGACAAGTGGTACGAGAACGGTTGTACTTTTACATTGAGATTTTATTTAAATATGTGCTTTCTCACAACAGGCTGTGTTTTTATTTCCTTGTGTTTTTCTGCAGGTGCATCTACCCCACTTACGATTACACCCACTGTCTATGTGACTCTATTGAAAATATCACACACTCACTCTGTACCAAAGAGTTCCAGGCCAGGTATACATTAATGCTCTGATGTAGCTAAACTATGAAAGCATCTTTTTTGGAGGAACATAAATGCATTGTTATGTTTACGGTCCTTTTTGTTTGTGATAGGCGTTCATCATATTTCTGGCTGTGTAACGCTTTGGATGTGTACTGCCCTGTCCAGTGGGAATATGGACGTCTAAACCTTACATACACTGTTGTGTCAAAGAGGAAAATCATCAAACTGGTAGAGACTGGCATTGTCAGGTAACATTTATATTTCTTAATTACTTTTAAGAATAATCTGCCTTGTAATAAATGGGATGCAGAAACACTCAAGAAATAGAAAGCATTTCTTCACCAGTCATCTCATCAGATTTCTTTATGGGGAATTAGATGCTTTTTATCTTTTTTTTCATGTTACAAATAATCGGTTTGGTAACTGTAGAAGACATTTCTTCTAATTACAGTAACTGGGACGACCCTAGACTCTTCACTCTGACTGCGCTCAGGAGAAGAGGTTTCCCACCAGAGGCGATTAACAACTTCTGTGCCCGGGTATGCAGAATGGACTGAAGGATCATTTGTTGGGTGGTGGAACTAGTAATTAAATGCATGAGAACGGTGCGGTAATGATATGTTACATCTGTTCTGCAGGTTGGAGTCACAGTTGCTCAGACTACGACAGAGCCCCACCTTCTGGAGTCGTGCGTGAGGGACGTGCTGAACGAACAGGCACCCAGAGTCATGGCTGTGTTGGAGCCACTCAAAGTCACCATTACTAACCTCGCTGAGAACGCAAAGGTTTGTACATGAATTACTAATACAGACAGTGCACGCTAAACAGCACCCTAAGGACTTGTTATATTATGTCCTTTGCATATTTACAATCTTTGGTGCTGAATATTCCTGCGGTTGTCTTCTTCTGTCTCAGTCAGACGTACGAGTGCCAGACTTTCCTGCCAACGAGGCCAGGGGCAGCCACACGGTGCCTTTTACACGCACGATCTTTATTGAACAGAGTGACTTCAGAGAGGTCAGAGAGAAAACCCAAAATGATCCTTAGAGTTTAGGTTGCAGACTTTCTTTGTGCAACTTTTTGGATTGCGGACAGAAGTTGATGATGGACTTCTCCTTTTTGCAGGTGATGGAGAAGGGCTACAAGCGTTTGACCCCCGACCAGCCTGTAGGTCTGAGGCATGCTGGGTATGTCATCTCTGTCCAGAAAATCATCAAAGTAAGATTCTAGATATTCTGAGGTTTGGTCCAATTTGTTTATTCTGGTTGAAACATAGCTCATAGCCGGGTATGAACAAAAAAGTTGAAAGTACTTTACTTTAACTGTTGTGTTTTGAAAGTTAGAAATATGCTTGAGCAGTGTTTGCTTCAATTCAATTCAATTCAAGTTTATTTATATAGCCCAATATCACAAATCATATATATTGTCTCAGAGGGCTTCACAAATCAACAAACACAATTGACAATGTAAAAACAATTGGAAACAATGTAAAAACAACAAACGTATCTTACAAGATAAATGTGAAAATACCAATGAAAAAGGTACATAACACAATATGACACAAATACAGTTAGAGTACAATAATTAAAATTCTATAAAACAAAGGGTCCATGAGGATGTTTACTCTGTTGATGTCTTTACTTCCTGGTCCACATCCTCATAACATCTCAAGCTGACTTCACCTTTATTTCCCAGGATGCTCAGGGTAAAGTGGTTGAACTGGAGGTGAACTGCTGCAGTTCTGACACTGCAGAGAAACCAAAGGCCTTCATCCACTGGGTCAGCCAGCCATTAGTGTGTGAAGTGCGCCTCTACGAAAGACTGTAAGTCACAAAAACAGCTTACTGCCAATCGCAACCAATATTCCATGTTCAAAACTCGCTAAACCAAACTTCTTGCTGTCTTTGTAGATTCCTGCACAAATATCCAGAGGATCCGTCTGAAGTGCCCAATGGCTTCCTGACTGATATCAATCCTGTGAGTATATTTAAATCAACAGAGATGTTTTAATGAGTATAGAAGTGATGTTTAAGGTTTTTCCTCCTCTTGTCCTTTAGCTTTCCATGCATACTATCAGCAGTGCCTTAGTAGATACTTCAGTGAAGGGAGCAAAGGTTTTGGACAAATTCCAGTTTGAGAGAGTTGGCTACTTCTCCCTGGACCCCGACAGTACAGCAGATAAGGTACAGTAAGAACAAAAATACTACAGCTGTAGTTCATTCAATAATGTATTTAGACATTTGGAAACATATTGGCAATGTTGTCTCTTTCTCCCTGCAGCTCGTCTTCAACAGAACAGTCACCCTCAAAGAAGACCCTGGGAAAATCTGATTGACTGAGAACAAGCCACACTTCCTGCTTCCCATGAGCCCACAGATACATGTCCACATTGTTTGCATCATTTAATGTGTAACAACAGCAAGGGGACAAACAGCTTAGGCTGAGATTGACTCAAATCAGATATTGTATGCCGATATCCCTAAACTGAAGTTTTGTTTGTTTTCTAAAAACAAAAATTATGTTTCTTGATTGTCAGCTGTGAAAACAACTTTCTGCAGTGTCACTCAGTCAATGTCAGAATCCATTTGAACTCTTTCTACAATAGCTGCAATAATATTTACTTAGTGTTTGTTCTTTGATGAATGTATGCATTTTTGATCATTGTTCAAAAAAGACCTGATGTTTTTTAGGTTAATATTGCCTCTAAGCTGGTGTTACACAGAAGAGATGCTCACAATAGCGTACATGACTTCCTTGCAAAGATGGTATAACACTGCCAAACCATCATGTTTTTTTTAAGACTCAGGGGGTAACATGTGTCCTTTTGACAGGAGAAAATAATAAATAATACCAAAATAACCTGCAATGTCTCTGATCATCTGAAGTTTCCAAAAATTATTCTCACACCAGTAATAATTTAGATATTAAATCTAAAGGTAGAACACAGCTAAAGGTAATGTGTGTGCGCTGTCACTGAGGATTTCAGTAAGAAAAGTCTGAGAAACAGTCAAATAAATTAAAGTGATGTTTATTGCCAAGTCGATTTGAACATACAATAACAAATGTTGCTGCATTGGTGCCATATCATCAGCAAATTAAATAAAAATATAGCAAGTATTGCAACAAAATCAAGAAACATAGATATTGAATATACGAAAATTACAATACAATGTGTACAATAAATCGAATCTCAAATGAAAGAGCTTTACAGCTTCCAGAAGGGGTATTCTTTTGCAAACGCAAAGTATGCTGAAATGTAATGCGTGGGATTTAACCCTGAACTGCCCAAGGCTCACTTAGCACCAGTCAAACATTCAGCGCATCTCTTTGGGACTACCTTAAAAGATTGAGAATCCAGTGAACCACTAGGAGCGTCTGTCTGGCATAATCGGGTTTTAAGGTGGTCTGACATCTACCTGATCTCGAGAGCTACTTTGCCTGTGTGTATCGCCTTTAACTGACTATACTGTCAACACCAGTTATCGCGATATCATCTGGTGGAAACACCGCGATAGCTCGACAGAGCTCCAACTCGCTTTCCGATTGGTCTGAGGGAACTGTTGTAAAATGGCGCCCTGTGAAATATGAGTGGTTAATAAAAAGAAAAACTACAGTCATCGATCTTACGAAAATAAAGATAAATAAACAACACAGCAGCCACAGGGGGATATCAGTATACGTGTCCCTGTAAGAAGAGTGCCGTTTTTTGAGGACAGAGTAGGACGGGTGGGCGGCTCGAGTCTTTGAGGAAGAGAGGTAACGCGCCTGCTAATGTTAGCATGCTAGCTTTGGTAATAACATGTAGTCGGTGGAACGTTACAGACAGCAGACTAACCCCAGTGCCTTCTGGTTTTGCTCCACCTGTCATGCTCGCATTATTACACAAACAGAGCTGTGGCGTGTTATGTTTTGCAAACAACACATGGCTAGTTAGCCATGTCTGATCTAGTTTGTTGTGTAGCTTCAGCAAGATGCATGCCATTCTAATTTCATTGCACAACTTGCATGTTTTCATTATGCAGCAGTTTCCTTCACTGCTTTTGAATACTGCATCGGATTTGGAAAGTGGCCGCGCTTTTGTCCCTGCTCGTACAGTCAGATAGATTTAACCCTTTCGTATTACCCTCTGTCAGTGGTGTCACTGGGCAGTGATCTGTAGCTCTGTTTGTAAACACTGTAAAGTGTAAACTGCACAACATCACCCGTTTTTTGTTACATCAATAACTAAGCAGCTGTCTTCTTAATTTTCAAATGTATTTAAGTTGTGTTATTGAATTCATGGTCAATTTTTTTTTATACAGACATAGAGCGTTGCTACGCCTACAGCTAATTAAAAGCACTTATTTCCTCTCATCCTGCCAATAAAGGAAGACACTGTCAGCAGCAATGAATAACTCCCTGGATGGTACAGGCTCCTATGAGGAGCTTGTTAGGCAAAAAGCTCGGAGCATCCCTCAGCATCGCATGAAGGAGTTCCTGGAGTCCTTGGCCAGCAAAGGCCCAGATGCCCTGCAAGAGTTCACCCAGCAAGGCGGAGATGCTACGACCACTACCACGACTATGGTCTACCAACAAGAGCCCAACTGCATCTACACAGACAGCACGGAGGTGGCAGGGTCATTGTTGGAGCTGGCTTGTCCGGTAAATTAGCGCACTAAATGGACACAAATCAATCTGTTAGCTATATCCATGAATCACAGCTCTCTGACAATGACTGTCCTGTCATGCAGGTTCAGGTTCATGTCCAGCCGCAGCAGCAACAGATACAGGAGTCTCAGCAGCAATCTGTACAGCAGAATACAGAGCAACAGATTGTGCAGGTTGGTACTTTTATTATACCTTTGTGCTGTGTTAATTACTTGTTCCACTTAATTCTCTACTAACATTATTTTATCATCACTATTTTCTTCAGGTGCAGATCCAGGGTCAGCAGCAAGGTCAGATGCTTGGCCAGGTCCTTCAAATGCCCTCTGGCTCCCATCAACAGCTTCAAGGTGTGACAACGGCACAGCTGATTCAGCCTGGGGAACTCACAGAGGAGCAGCACCAACAGGTACACATAAACACACACAATCACAGTCAGCACCATAAGTCACTTTCAAATGTTGCAAATGGCCAGTTTGAATTTAGTTACCATCCATCATTTCTCTTTCTTGTGTTTTAGCTGCAAGCCCAGTTGATAGCAGCTGTTGCAGGAGGTCATCAGATACAAATCCAGACAGTGGGAACTCTCTCTCCGACCCAGCAGCAGGACAATGTTGAGAGGAGGGTACTGGGTACAACCGTTGCCACATCACAGGGAGCAGGGGTCCTCCAGCCAGCCAAGAAGCGCAAGGTCGACATGCCCATCACTGTGTCCTATGCCCTGCCTGGTCAGCAAGTAGCCACAGTGCTGGCTATCCCTCAGGGACAGGGCCAGCATCAGAGTTACGTGTCTCTGCGGCCAGACCTCCTCACTGTGGACAGCTCCCACCTTTACAGTGCTACAGGCACTATCACCAGTCCCACAGGCGAGACCTGGACAATCCCTGTTTATTCTGCTCCTGCTGGAGCGGGAGGCTGTGAGCAGGTCACCCATATTGCCATCCCCCAGGAAGCCTATGGAACAGTGCAGGTTTCAGGGCCAAACACTACGACAATGACAACAATGCCAACACAAGTTACTGTTGAAAATGACAAGCTGAAAAGTCAGACAATTCAGGCCGTTTCCAGCATTACAAGCTCGGGAGGAATGGGAGGCCAGGAAGAAGTGGTGCACACTCTGTCTGCAAACACGCTGTTCCCTACCCAGCTGATGAACGGAAACATCCACATCCCAGTGGCAGTACAGGGCTACTCCAACGCGACACAGTCCCTCATCTGGGATCCACAGCAGCAGGTGCTGCACACCCAGGGGCTGTCGGGGCACGATGGACAGCAGCTTCAGGTACTAACACAGGTGTTATGTTGGACTATTTTGGCCAGATACACATATTGACTTGTGTTGATTGTTTGCATGCCATGAGGTAAGAGTGTTGGTGTGTTTGCGTCTCTGCAGGGTCACACAGTGGTAGCAGAGGTAGATGGCCAGCACCAGGTGCAGGAGCTGCTGCTGCCCGCAACCCTGAAGCCAGAGGAGGGGCTGGAGGTGTGGCGGATATGGGCTCAGAGGAAAAACGTAGAGTTGGAAAAATCAGACACAAACAAACTGGCTCCAATTGGCCGTAAGTACATTTTGACACTGTTTGTTGTAATGTTAAGACATTGATGTGTGTGCATTACCATTATCTTTTTCCTGTAAATCCTGATTTGTGTATTTTGTGTTTTAGGACGCCAAGCACTGCGTTTCCAGGAGGACTTGGTGTCGAGTGCAGTAGCTGAACTCTGCATGGGTCTCTCTTGCATGACCACAGAGGCTCGGGGGCTGGAAGAAGAGACTTATGAGGCTGATGTTCTCTACTATGTATTTCTGTGCATACAAAAAGTAAGTTCACGATGCCCCACAATCACACACAATAGGCGCTTTCACACCGGAGTACTTTTCCCCGTACTTTTCCCTTTTAGTTCCGATAGTTCCTGGGATTTTGCATTCACACCAAAAAGAGAACTTAGTTCATGAGAACTTGTCCCCCTTTTTCAGTCCCTGCTAGAGAGCAGGTACTTTCCTGGGGAGAAAAAAGTTCAAATTTCTGATTGGCTGGGCGAATTGCAAACCACGCCCCGTAAAACTCGGAAAAATGTTGTGAAGCCGCCATTGTATTTGCTGGCATTAGCATTATTAGCATTAGCCCAGCGCACCAACGGAGAGAGAATAACTTATGGCAACACAAAAAAAAACATGGGAGCGGTGGAGTGATGAGGAGGTGTGATGTTCTGGCGATTTACTCGGAAGGCTTCAGAAGAAGCTGCTGGGAGTCCCAGCAGCTTCTTCTGAAGCCAGTCTATGGATGTATAATAAGAACTGGATACAACGTCGGAGGCGGGGTCTCGTTCTTTCCTATGAGCGCTGCTCATTGGCGCATGAGGACAAAATGGCCCAACTTTTGAGAGAGCGAAACGTCACAGATTACCCATCTGTGTCATCAGCTGTCAGAGCAGAAGAACCCCTATGTGCGCTCACAGAGCATGCGCCCCCTAAGCCCCGCCCCCGAGCTCCCACTCTCAGCTCAGTAGAATGAATGGAGACAAAAAATAAATCTAGATTCGGCTTTTAGTGCATTTTACAACTTTACGGACCGAATGATTCTAATAAGGGCTATAAAATAGTTCATACTGGGTAGTTTATTTAGTTTAAAAAAAAAAGTATCCGCAGATTTACAGACGTCTCTTTCCCAATGTTAGTCAATGGGGAAAAGTCTTTCTGGGCCCAGTGATGTCAGGGACTGATAAGGAAATTGTAGTACCGCCGTTTGGACACAACGAATATTTTCATCAGAGTCCGGCGCACTTCCCGGGGGCTTGAGCCAGTCCCCAACTCCGGGGACTTCGGGTGGCAGTATACGCCGTGAAGTTGTTTGCGGCCTGCCAGTAAACCCAAAGCAGAAGAAGAAGAAGTGACGTCAGCGTCTTCATTTGCGTAATCTTCCCTCAGGGACTTATTCCGGTGTGAACGCGATCTGCTCTTTAGTTCCATGGGGGAACTAAGTGCAGGGAACTAAGTGCTGGGAACTAAGTACGGCAAAGTACTTGGTGTGAAAGCGGCTATACACACTCATCCATTCACCTCCATTTAATAATTGTGGGTTCTTGATTTTTATGGAGTAACACTGTTTGACCACATCTTTATTTTCTAAATTTTTCCCCTGCAGTATCTGTTTGATAACGGCCGTGTGGACGATGTTTTCTCCGATCAGTATTACACACGCTTCGCTCACAGTCTGCACCAGATCTTAGAGCCTTGGAGATCATCTATCCACCCGCTAGGTGAGAACAGAGTGTTATCCACATTTTTCTTGCATTTACAAAGCCTGTTTTTTGGTAATCATATCAAATAATATTATCTCCGATAATATGCACAGACACAAAACACAAACCTAGCTTGTTAGGGGTGAAACCAATCACAATTTTTATATTGGGAGTCGGTTTTTGACGTTTTTGGCACAAAACATTTACCAAGAAGTGTAATACTTTTCTCAATGAAATTCAAATAATTAGATAATTTCTTGGCGGGTCTTCATAATCTACCTTTACCTCCTGCCAGGTTACATTATCCCCAGTCATGTGACGGAGGAGATGCTGTGGGAATGTAAACAGCTGGGAGCTCATTCTCCCTGGACATTGCTCACGACTCTTATGTTCTTTAACACCAAGTAAGTTTCTTCCATCCTCACATTAATCATACTGTTAAATTGACATCCAGTTATATTGTCCATTATATACCTCATAGAGCAAATCTTCATTTTAAGACAAATAATTCTCAATCTACATATAAGCAAAATACAAATCTGCACAAGACACTCATTGTCATTCCATACACTTTGGGATACCAATTAACACACAGTGGCCAAATCAGTTAATGTATATACATTATATTTTCTCCAGGTATTTTCACCTAACGACGGTGGACCAGCATCTAAAAGTGGCCTTTTCTAAGGTGCTGAGACACACCAGGAAAATTCCCAACAACCCCAAAGACAAGAGCACCAGCATCCGATACCTAAAGTCAACAGAGAGGTTCATAGGACAGAAAGGTAAACTTTCACACAATTTAATTTGTGATTAAACCCCATGTTAGAATCGATTACAACTTGTATATTGCTTTTGTATTTTTCTCTGTTCAGTCACAGATGACATGTACTCGGAGCAGCTGGAGGACCCAGAGAACCCGCTGCGATGCCCCATCAAGCTCTATGATTTCTACCTCTTCAAATGGTAAAAATATAAAAGTGTTTATCAGTAAATTGAACTGTATATTATGTGTTTGGAGGTGTACATTTGTTTTTATGTAATGATACATGAATCAAACATTTCATCGCTTGTTCAACTGTATTAATCTAAAAAAAACTAGTAATTCTTCTTAGTGCTGCCATGTAGTGTTTTCACTCTGGCCAAGGTTAAAGTTATCAATCTACGATGAAAGCCAGAGTTTCTGCTGCTAAATTATGTATTTGTTATTGACATGGGTTGTAAAGTACACGTTGCACTCAAGAGTTCAAGTGGTTTGAAATTGTGAAAACCTTGTTGCTAAGCAACTGACAAAAACATAGATGTTTTATAATAACTAAAGGATTTTTTATGTTTTCTGCCTCAACAATTTTCCAAAGAATAAGCAAACAAAATTATATAGCCTTAGCTGCCAGCGTCCTTCACCACCTCTTAACAGAAAGAAATGTCTGAAAGTCGATCAATCATTGAACAATTCGTAACAGCTATTTAGATTATTTCTTGCCATTCACGTTTTATTTTTTTATGTTTCACATCATTGTATATATTTTTGGGGTTTGGACTGAGTGGGACAAAAAATGCAACTGAAGACTTAATCTGGGCCTCTTAGAATCAGTCAGCAATTTTTCAGTTTTTGACTTAGTGTATATCACTTGATTAATATAGAATTAGTCGCAGCCCTGATGGCAATAGGACAAACGAAACAGTCTCAAACACTACAAGTAGGCCTGTCACGATAAATAATTTAGTTGGACGATACATTTTCCTGGAAATTATTGCGATAAACGATAATATTGTCGGCACGGTTGTAAGACCATTTTAGACCACTGATATAATGATAATATATCCTAATAATTCAAGTACGTCCTTTCAAACAGAACTTTTTATTGAACATTCAACATAGATATCTATATATATTTATATATATGAGCACACATTGTCTCACAAGCAAAAAAAACCTTCTTAAAACAACAGTCAAGTGTACAGTCCACTGTCCATACAAAGACCCAGCTGCCTCAACAGGCCATATCCAAATCTGTATTTCAAAGTTTTGTCGGGCAAATGTATCTTTGATTGTAAACTGTCCGGAAGGTGGGGGCTCTCCATCTCCAGCTGCCGTGTTTGCTCCCAGCTGGGAAAACGGAATGGGGTGTTTGTGTTTCAGGTGCAGTTTAAGGTTGGTCGTATTGCTAGCTTGTGTTGCTACCGTTTTAAAACAAATGCGACATAACGGCTCATTCAAGTCCGTAGGTTCGCCTCGTTGATTTGGCTTAAATCCAAAATATTCCCACACCGGAGATGTGGAATTAGCTTTTGCAAGCCATTCCATTTAACTTCAAATTCCCCTCGAGTAAGTCACACGTTGTCTCCTGCTTGTCTCTATATTATTCATTTGCACGCGGAGTGACCTGGCTGTGTGTGTGCCTCGCGGCGCGCCTGGCCAGCAGCCACAGCCCGTCTGGCTAAAATGCTGGTCATATCCTTATGTAAACAAACACGCATGTAAACGGCAATTTATCGAGTGCATTTTTATTTATCGTACGATAATTCAATTAATTGCTTAGGCCTAACTACAAGATCAAAAACAAAACCATCATGACGGCACACCTTTTTCAAGAACCTCTCTATTTAACTGGCAGACAAATCTGATATGTTTGTGAATCAAGGTGTCCTCATGCTGTTCCCTGTGTCTCTGTCAGTCCGCAGAGTGCTAAAGGTCGCAACGACACCTTCTACCTGACTCCTGAGCCCGTGGTGGCTCCCAACAGCCCCATCTGGTACTCCACTCAACCAATCCCAAAAGAACAGCTGGAGCAGATGCTCGCCCGCATCACTGTCCTTCGGGAAATCCAGGAAGCCATTAACTTGTCTGAGAGCGTGCACTAGTTTGAGCCGGGACTTATAAATGGACTAAACTCTTTCCTTTCTCTTCACCCAGCCTTTGACTGCTCATTATTAGTAGTTTTGTACTCTCACACCCTCCTATGGTCTTAAGGGGTGGCATGTTTATAGTCATGTGTCAGTGTATCATACATTCACGGACTGTACATACAACAGCTGATCATTTGTTTTATTGAGGCAACCTCTCAACCTTACCACATTTATTTTCTTTTTGTTTGGCCAAAGGATGTAGTGTGCGATCTTTTAATTGGACCTAAACTCTAATTTACATTTTATTTTAACTGTTGGTTCTTTTAACCAATTGTAATTCCCTGTTGTATTTTAATCTGTAGTATATGTCCTATATATTTTCACTGGGGTTGGCCTACGCTATGCTGCTCTCCATTGAAACCCTGCTTTGTTGCTCTTCTTTCCCTCATCTGCCTTTTTCACAGTTAGGTGTCCCAGTGAATACCTCAGTGGTATTACGGAGCGTCCACACAGCAGCGTGCGTTGACGCTTGAAGGTGGGCGTATCTGAAGCTTGGGGATTTTTTGCGAGCAACACGACCAACAACCAATCACATGAATCTCCCGCCCCCGACATACAAAGCAATAGCAATGTTAAAACGAAGTAAACTGGATATAAAATCCCCAAACAGGCGAAAACCTACCAGTTTCACCCACTGTCTCTGCCTCCTCCCTCCATGCCTCGCTCCTCCGGTTTGTATCCCGGTAGATGAACAGAGACTGATCATACAGCACCGGGTGATTCACTACCGCTACAATGAATTTTCCCTCAATTTGTTTGAATATGAGGAAATGACCTGCGTAGTCTCTCCCAGCATACACGCGGTTTGATTGGCTAGCGATTGTACTGGCAGATTTGAATAAACGGGATTTCATTGGCTGACGCCTCCGTCGAGGCGTCAAAAGTTGAACATTGCTCAACTTTTGACGCCAGCTACGCCAGCAACGCTCCACGTCGCTTCCCAAAATGCAGTTCGGCTAAAAGTGATGTCACCCCATTCAAAGTGAATGGGCAGAAGCGTTGGAAGCTTCAACGCACGCCGCTGTGTGGACGGGCCGTTAGGACTGCATTATGTAGCCAAACATAGGCTAAAGCGATTTTAAGTTGTGTGAATAATCCCTTTTTTTTGTATTTCACTTATCTGTCTTGAGCTCAGTTCACAATACAGCAAACTCTGAAGATCACTCGCTTTTTAGTAATTGTTGCTTGCTGTTGGACTAGCTTAGGAGCATTGAATCACTTCAGCAAACAGACTTTATTGCAATACAGTCTCGCCACTTGCCCTGCAGCTATTAGCACTTGCCACACGGTGGAAACGTAGAGGAAGGGCGAAGGATGTGACTTCTGCTGGACCCGCCTTTCTCTCTCCTGTCCATCACAAACCCCAAAACGTACCCGAGGAGGGATCTATTGTATCATACATGTTTATTATCCGACAAATGAAAGACTCTTAAAAGAAAAAGAAGAGGGTTAGCCCTTTTATGTTCTATAATGCTCATAGCTCCTTCATGTACTGTAATGGGTTTCAGTCTTCTAAGGAGAATGACAGTGCCTGTGTGTTTTTGAAACATGACCTTTTTAGTACAGCCACTATACCAACATGTGTCTGCCTTTTTAGCAAGTCCGCTATAAATTATGCACATGCATTCTTGAGTACTTATGTGTGATGTGAAATAATGCACAATGATTTCAAAAGAGGAAACTAAATAAAGTAATCCCGCAGCATCACTTTATCAATAATGGAGACAAAGATATAAAAACAGTGAATTGTTCAGCTAGCTGTACACCCTGAGGATCTAACTGTGCATAGGGAGCAGCTTGATCATTGTGTTCTTGTGAATCTCCTGGTAATTAATTCACAGAACAGGTTTGACCTGTCCGGCATGTTACGCCCTTAATATTTACTTTTGGTCACAAAAAGAAAGTGCTGCGTCTGTGGTTTCTTTACCAGCATATATTCGCATGTTGTCAGGCCGGTTTTCCACCTGCAGGGCTTGGCGTCACAAGCACAACAAGCTTTATTTCTGCAGTCTAATTCCTGAGGAGCTGTATGAGGGCATGCATACCGCTGTTTTTTTTTTTTTAACCCTTAGTCTTGTTTGTGTCTGTAGTATCGGCTGTACAGTTGGTGAGTTCAGAAGGCGTTTGATCCTGGATTAAACGATGAAGAAGAAGGCAGTAACCTCCTCAGTAGGTTCCCAGGGTTTAAGATCTGTTGCATTGCGGTCTGTGGTTGGTCTGATGGAGCTGTCTGTCGGTGATGGCGGTGTCTCCTCCCACCGCTGCTCCCCCTTCCTGAGGAACTGTGTTGGTTAATATTTGAACTGGCTCCCTGAATTTGTGGCCTGCTGGGGAAGAAAATAACCATAATTAAAATGTCATCTTACATTACAATGACTAATTACATGCTGCCTGTGCTGAAATTTGATTTGGCTGGTGTGTTGGTGCTCATAGGGAGCTCATTTCTGTATTCTCACCGTGCTGAGCTCCCTCCACTGAGCCAGTGCAGCAGACACTGATGAACAAATATGTACTGCTCCTGAGTTCACACAAAGGAATGAACAGGTAATGAGAAACTCGTGAGAACCAAACAGTAGAGCAAACTGTCAATGAGAATGGAGGGGGGGGGGGGGGGGTTACCTTGGTTGGTGATTTGCTAATGTATACACAAGCCAAAACATTGTTATGACATAAAGTGGTCAAAATCTGATCAGCTCATTTTCAGACAGGTTTTTATATAAACTTTTATAATCTCTTAACGCAGAGGGAACACATATTTATGTATAGAAGACATGAAAAAGTGGATTTTGCATAATAGCTGACCTTTAACTATCTGCAAAATGCTTTGGTACTTTTACTTGGTAACATTTTGAACTTTGTTGCTGTTACTTTTACTTATTTTAACACTGCAGGTGAGTAAACCACTGGATCACGACTGCACCGACCTGATTTTGGACCATCCACATTCGATGTAGCCTTAGGTCCTCCACGGCAGCCCGGACATCAGGTTTGATGCCCCTCGCACACAGCTGCATCAGCCACAACAGCGTCACAAATGTCCCTGAACGCCCAACACCTGCACTGAAACACCATAATGCAGGATTTAACTTTGACATCATTTTAGATCCATCTGATTAACATGGTTGGTCAGTTATTAAATACAAATGACATGACTATTTTTGTAGTTTGTAATATTGGCATTTAATAGCAAGATTATCTGATCTGTATTATATTTACTCACTTTTGGTTTATTTTAAAAATAAATTGTTGACAATATTGCACTTTATACTGAAAAATGGACACGAAAAATTGAGATCCACAAACACTCTTTTCTCTCTTTAAACATCTCAAAATTGTTTCAATGCAAATGAAATACATTTTGCATATTCAGCATTCACATTCACATGTAATCCATTGCTGCCAACCCTGGTTATTGATAAACCTCTGAAAGCTCTACATGGTAGACTGAACAGGGCACAGATTTTAAATAAGTCAGTAATAAGTTTCCTAACGAAGAGGGTGATGGGCTGGAGGTCTCACCTGCAGTGCACCACGGCCGGTCCCAGGCGTGGAATCGCTTCCATTTGCTGCCGCACATACTCAGTGAAGGCACAGAGAGAGGATGAGTCTTTTGGGATGCCCCGGTCCGGCCAGGCTGGGTAGTAGTAGTGTGTGATTAGCCTGTCAGTTGGACAATCTCTCTGAAACACAAACACTTTCCTTCAACCCAAACACAAAGGCTTCTCCTTCTTCTTTGATTGATCACTGGTGCGGTCAGTGCACACAAGTCCACAGCAGCACTTGAAAAGGTACCAAAGGAGATGATGGATGTTTCTTTTGCTCACCTGTCTGAGGTTAATGGTGGTAACAAAATAATCTGGACCCTGTTTACGGATCACTGTAGTCACTTGGATCAGTCCATGATAAACTGTCCCTTGTTGCAGAGGCCAATACTTATCACACAGCACCTGCACACATAGAAATAAAGGTAATTTCAAACCACTAATTCAACAAGGTCCTTTTTTAAAGACTTGTAAGCTATTTACTGATAGTAGGTGTACGAAAGGAGTTATTTAGTATTTATTGGAAACTCGCTTATTCACTTTCTTGCCCACAGTTAGGTGAGAAGACTGAAACCCCTCACATGTCTTTACGGGAAATATGGAGCTTTAAGAAGTTTAGCTATAAAGACTGTAAAGAGGGAAGAACAGCTAGCCTAGCTCTGTAAACAAGATTTAAAAAGCACAACCTACCAGCAACCTCAAAAGCTCACAAATGAAGTGTTTTGTATAGTTTAAATGACTTAAACTCTGGAAACAAGTTAGCTTAGTCTTTATGCTAAGCCAACTACTTCCTCCGCTGTAGCTTCATATATTACCGTGGGCTATAGACAATTCCTTTAAAATAAGGAATATATATTTCATCTCAGGAGTCAGATGTTGGACACACACACACAGACACACAGAGAGAGAGAGAGAGAGAAAGGGTCTTTCTCACTATGTCCTTGTGTTTCAGAGCTGTCACCATAACGATTATCCTGACGTTCTGCTCCCACACCATCCTCCAGAAGTCAGCCATGGTGTTGTTCAAAGGACCCTGGGTGCAGATAAAGTCTCTTTCTGAACCTCCTCCCTGAAAACAGACACACATGCATTAACAGATGCAGACAGATGTGAAGGCAGACTTACAGACAGACTCAGAGGTGGTAACGCAGGAGGACAGAGTAATGAAATGACAGAGGAGGTGAATGGATTCTTACAGGGACAAAGTTTGCGTTGATGTAGTCAGTGTGTGGTTGGGAGTTTTGGACTGACAGCCTCACGCGACAGTGGTCATCTATAACCAGATGGAGAACAGAAAAAATAAGAAAAAGTCTCACACACTGCAACAAATAGATGATGTAATCTGTTGTAGTGTGATAATGTAGTTACTTACATGGCAATATGTAGGGGTATCTGTTCTTTTCTCTGTTTGCCTCTAAGTCCCCTGCTGTAATGGGAAGTTCTTTGCCAACTAAATCTAGCTCCTTCAAAAAGTCAAGGACATCAGAACAAATGACAAATATAATAGCTTTACAAATCAGAAATCTGATGCAAGGTACATTTTTTTAACTCACCTCAAACTCCTGTTTAAAGCCTTTGTTGTCATTGGCTGCATGTGCCTGGCATCGCAAACGAAACTCCTGCACAATTTGCGCTCTTGAGAAAGTTTGCACCCTGTGAAATATAATTGTCTGATATTTAACCATTTTAAGGGCATTTATAGACAATATGAATGAACCGGCATAGAAAAAATAGACCTAATACAACTAATTGTAGAAGTGTGGTCTGTTTTTTTAAAGACATCTTTAGTGATAAGCCTAACGGCTCAAAGACAAACTTGCATAATGTTTTGGTCTATTCATGGAAATCAGCCACACACTCAAAGTTCCAACAAAAAATGGCGCCTTACCTCATGTCTTGTCTTGCTGTCAACCTCGTACTTTCATAGAAATGTAGCTGGATCTCCAGGTGCTGAAAGGTGCCAGTGTGATTTCAGTGTTGATAGAAAAATACCAATTCCTGTCAATTCAAGTAAAATGTTCTTTTAATTTGACATCAATAAATGTATTGGCAAATTGTAACTGAATAGCTCAGAACATTGTGTCAACCTCTTGTTTTCCCCTCCCCCTTTATGTTAAATATTTTCCTTCTGAGCAGAGTTATGTGAAAACAGAGGAACACACAGAGAAGCTGTATCACACATGTGAGGAAGTTAGTTGCCTTCAAAAATGTATTTGCATCCATGTATACCTCATGTAACCACACTTTCTTTATACTGGTTCAAAACAAAAAAGTTGTACATTGAATCTAATCTACAAACGTCTCCTCTTTTGTATAGTAGACACGTTGGCATACCTGACAAGCACAACCCACATGGAACCCACACGGAACAATTAGTAAAACTGACCCGACAAGATAGAAAACCTGCTCCAACGAGTCCTCAATACACAACACAGAGTCCAAGCTTCAGTATGAGGGTTTCAGGATTACCTTTCCAAAGGGGCCGCTGGTAAATGGTTTAAACCTGAAGAGAAACAGGACAGTAATACACTGCTCCAAGTAATTTTAAGGTTGTCTGGTTTTAATAATACTCAACCCTTTCCCTCTTTCTCCCTCAGGGCAGGGGAGGAGGAAGTTGAGTGGCGACAGTGGGTGGAGAGAGAAACATTAAACCTCTGGGAGGGATGGCAGTACATGATGTTATTAGATACTCTTAGCACTAACAAAATGTAAAGTAACTCTAACTGAGGCTCTGAGAATTAAACTCATGTTTATTCACACTTAAGGTGTTTACTAATACAGTGGACATTTGTGTCTTGTTTAACACATACAGCTGACAAAATGCATCAGTCTGTTGTCATACACAAAATGTGGTAAAATGGCACAAAGCTATAAATGAAATCTTTTTCATAGATTATTGTTCAATTGTGTCTTATTCTCTAGATTATCAGCACTTGATGATTGAAGAGAACACCTGCCTTGTCGATTAGTGAGTTCGTTGTGACACTAATTTACAATGCTTTTTTGTATTTTAAAATCATTGTGGTTTTGTTTTCATTTTTATAAGTAATTCCGTAGGAGCATGTCATCATTGACATTCAAATAGATTTGCAAACATGTCAGATTTTACAAAACAAATATCTTTAAAAGGGAAATGTAGCATGCATGTCCCTCCTTGAGAGCTTTGAAAGGCGCCCATAAATAAAATGCTTTATTATTATTATTATGAATAAACAAATTCAGGCAGTGTCAAATCACAAAAACGACAAAAAAATGCTGTATTGTGTGATTAGTGTTAAATTGAGTGTTAAAGTGTCTAATTCATGTATTATTTATTATTATATGATAATCCAAGGGCAAGTTGTCTAGCTTGTGACAGAGGTCAATCATTCTGAAAAATGTTTTACTATAGCAGCAGTATTATTGGTGTCTAATTTGTGAGATAAGGAAATTCCCCTATAGCCTGCTATATTTTTCACAACACAGATATTCATATTACATTACATGTTACTTGTTAGACGCTTTTATCCAAAGCGACTTACATACGCAATACTGTGGACAATCCCCACAGGGGCAATTTTGGGGTGAAGTGTCTTGCCCAGGGACACAACGACATGCTGACTGCAGTGGGGTTTGAACCTGTGACCCCCTGATCCGCACACATACACACAAACCACTGCGCCACACACCTCCCTCATATTTGTACAATAAACCACAGTTGGAAATAATCTGCATAATTTTTACTTTTGGTAGTTTAAGTACATTTGGATGCTAATGCTTTTAAACTTTTCTTGAGTAACATTTTGAATGCTGGACTTTTACTAGTAACCAGGGGCGGTTCTAGGGGGGGGCCAACACTGACTTTGGACCCCCCTGTGGCCCTCCTGAAAATAAAAAAGTTTATGATTAAACGATTTCTTGGCTGACAGAATAGGCGGAACTCACGATATTTGTCATTCTAGTCGGACCCATTATACCAGGGGTCTCCGCGTAATTTCCACTGGGGACAGGGGGGACATGTCGAAATCCTGTTTCCCCCACTTTACAAATATGTATAACGCAAGCAGCCTCTGTGAGCGAGTGAGACAGAGAGAGAGAGAGAGCGAGTGAGCTAGAGAGAGCACACCTTTATCTATTTAATATATTTGTAAAAAATAAAGTAAGAAATCATTCCAATGTGTACCATAAGACAGTAAAAAAAAGAAGAAAAACAGCTTAAAAGGGGAGTGATTAGTAAAATATGCATAAATAAAAAGAAAGATTGCTAACTAAACTATAGGTAACATAAGATAAGAATAAAAAAGTTTAAATGATTTGCTATTGGTTGTGATCATATTTTAAGATGTTTGGATGATTGAAAAAGTATACAGCTCGCTTTCATATGAGTGTTGAGCGCTGTATCCAGAAATTCATTTTGTGCTCAAAGTGCACCAGATTGATGCATTTAACTTCAACATTTAAAAAAAAAATCTTCCCGGGGGTGCATGCCCCCAGACCCCCCTAGAGGATGTGAGGTCCACCCCCCAAATAAAGCAGATTAAAATAATTAAATTGCATACATTTTCTTTTAGTAAACACTGAAAACGGGTCCCACAGACCCAAACAGCACACAAAGGTTAAAGGTAAGCATATAATAATGTTAAAATGTGCTAAGTATAAGTATATACACTGCAAAAAACAAAAAAAGAGGAGTAAAAGTAGCTCACGACGTGTTTTATTTTTTGAAAGTAGCTCTCATCCTAAAAAAGGTTGGAGACCCCTGCATTAGAGCGTAGAAACTGTAACTATAAGTATCTGAAATAAATATGTGTAGTGAAACAAATACCAATAACTGTATTGCATTGTTTTCTTATGCGCAATTACTTCATACTGTCTTTGTCTTTTTTCGTCCTGCATTTATTGTGCCCCCCTCAGAAAATAACTGGCCCCAGCCTGGCTAAAGTACAAGATCTGAGTAGCCTACTTCTTCCACCTCTGCTTGTTACAGAGTATTTTTACAATTTAGGATTGCTACTTTCACTTAAAGGTGGGGTATGTAAGTTTGAGAAACCGGCTCAAGATACACTTTTTGTTATTCCATGGAATGCTCTTAACATCCCGATAGCAATGAATATCTTAAGTGCTTTGACAAAAAATCCATTAAAAAATATCATCTCTGGAAGCCGTAGTACTGTAAAAAGCACAACCAATCATTTTAGCCGGCCCGGCTAAAATAACTGGATGGCCTACCTGCCTGTCAGCCTTCCATCTGTGCACAAACTTATCTCGTGCCCCCATTGGTCATGTGAGCATTCGTGTGTGTTGGACATGGTGTTGGAGGAGTGGCTCTGTAAGGAAGTGGCAGATTTTTTCCGGCTGTGTATTTTCAAATTCTAGTGCACTCGAGCTGGTTTCTCCAAAATTACCTACCCCACCTTTAAAGTGGACTTATTATGCTATATTGTAAACATATATTGTAGGGCCATACCTATACAAAATATGTCTGTGAAGTTTTTTGCTTAAAATACCAAACAGATCACCCATTGTAGCCATGCCTCATACTGCTCATACCCCTCTTTTGCAGCCCTGAGAAACGCGGATTTTGGGTCCTGAGCTTAAAAAAAAAAAGAGGAGGCGGATCTAATGCCTTATCAGAATTCTACCGGAGATAAAGTTAAATTCTGCTGTGATAAAACCCCATCCTGTTCTAAACCACATCAAGGATTATTTCTGAAACAGTATGGAGCTCAAATGCGTTTTCTCTTGCGGGTTTATCACAAGGTGAGTTCCTTTGTTCATTTCCTGCTTTTTAAACACATGTGCTCTACAGTACAGGTTAGCTCTGAGTGTTAGCGAGGCTTGCTAATGTAAACAAAGAGGAGATTACGTCCAAAACACGTCAGGCATTGTTTCTGATAGCAACTTTCTGTGGGTCCACCATCTGAAATTACTTAATATCGGCAGCAAATCTGTATCCGCTCATTGTCCCCGTTTTTAAAAGATTTGGATACGGAGGAAAAGAGAAAGGGTTTTATCTAGGGCCGGGACTCGATTAAAAAAATTAATCTAATTAATTAAAGGCTTTGTAATTAATTAATCGAAATTAATCGCATTTGTAATCACATATAAATATTTGACCTGAGAACAGTGAGAAGCAATTTTTTTCACATGGATTTTAGTATACCATTAGGCGCAGTCACACCGCAGTACTTTTCCCACAAAGGTTCATAAGAACTCTTTGAACCTGGGGGGTGGATTAGGCAAATGAAGCCGCTGACGTCACTTCTTCTTCTTCTGCTTTGGGTTTACTGGCAGGCCGCAAACCACTTCACGGCGTATACTGCCGCCCAAAGTCCCCGGAGTTGGGGACTGGCTTCAGTAGAAGCTGCTGGGACTCCCAGCAGCTTCTACTGAAGCTTTCCGAGTAAATCGCCAGAACGCCGACACCTCCTCATCTCCACCGCTCCCATGTTTTATTTTGTGTTGCCATAAGTTAGTCTCTCTGCGTTTCTGTGCTGTGCTAATGCTAATAATGCTAATGCGAGGATAATAAAATGGCGGCTTCACAAAACTTTTTGGGAGTTTTACGGGGCGTGGTTTGCAATCCGCCCAGCCAATCAGACATATAGCTATTTTCTCACAAGAGAGCCGTACGAAAGTCCCTGCTCTCTAGCAGCTCTCTGCTCTCTAGCAGGGACTTTCGTGGGGGTAAAAAGGTTCTCATGAACTAATTTTAGTACCGGCTCTTTTTGGTGTGAACGCGATAAAAGAGGCTAACGTCCACGCTAGCTGCTATATGTTTTGCATTGAGATGATACTTGAGGCTTGATGTGCTGCGGTGATATGCGAATTCCTTTTTGCATAATTTGCACACAACCGTGCTCTTATCGACGCTTCCATCCGTCCGTTTTTTAAAACAACATTTCCCACTGTTGTTCACTGTGGTTTGTTGTTGTCTGAAGTCATGAACGTTAGTTGGTGCTCCAGTATAATCGGTACGCCTGAAACTCATCCAGTGAGAAACGTTCCGCGGTGCAAAAATAAGTGCGATTAAAATGCGTTAATTTTTTTAACGCGTTAATTTTTGTGTAATTAATTAATCTTAATTAACGCGTTAAAGTCCCGGCCCTAGTTTTATCTTCTGACGCTGCGTGAGTTCCCCGATTCACCGGGGAAGCGTAATATTTATGTATAAAAGACATCAAAAAGTGCATTTTGCATGATAGGTCCCCATTAAGTAAAACATCTGATCTGAGTAGTTTTTCCACCCCTGCTTTAGGTGTCTATCATAGGTTTTAACCAGTTTTAACAGACATAATGTAAGACTGCGCCTGCGTGTGCCCAGGAGCTACGCTTCCAGTTTCGTTTTTGATAATGCCTTTTATGAGTGTAGTCTGAATCTGATTGGTGGCTGGAGTAAAAGGAAGTAAAACACATGTTGCGTTACTTTCCAGCGGAAGCCAGAGACACTGCGGCTCGTTTGACAACAATGTGAGATTTTCAACTACAAGGTAAAGCTTTCCAACTTGTCAACAAGGTGAGACAGGCTAATAAACCTCGAAGGGAAAGAAAAATGTTAATATTTCACTTTCCAGATGTAACGAAGAGATCAGTAAGACGCGCTTCCTGGTTTATCGGACCTTCTACAGAGAATAACATTTGGCGTGTCATTCATACAGATCAATCCACGACAGACAGAAATGGACCATGCACGACCACAAGACACACAGCAGAGCAAGGTAAATACACAGTGTCCTGCAATTCGTCCTGTGCTCACAGACTGCACACGGCCGGGTAACCCCCCTCGCCAAGATAAATCTACTTTCGCTTTCAATACATCAAAAATAAAGCTCATGAACTTTACTTAGCTTTCATTTGACTATAATTGCATTCACTGCTAACTGCACTATGACAAAGTGTGATTGTATGTGTGGTTTAGGAACACATTACTCTCCTGATATGTGGTTTACAATAGGCAGCTGAAAGTATGTTTCCCTTTATTCATTTAAAGATCCAGTATACTGTTTACAAACCCTGTGCACTTCCTCTAAGCACATTTCAATCTTCCAAAGAAATCAAACGTCTCAGCCTTAATATCTTTATTAAATAATCTGCACATATTGTACATCTATTGGGTGTTTCATCTGTGAAATGTCTAAAAAAAAAGTGTGGACATTTCCCATCATGTAATCCTACAGACCAAACCAAGATTATTTTCAATATACTGTCACATAAGATTACACATTTTAGAGGCTAGAACATGGGAGTGTTTTTGCTTAAAAAATGCTTAAATTATTAATACATTACCAAAAATAGTTGGCAATCATTTTGTAATGACTTAATTTTGTCCGTTTAGTAATACTCAGACACAAGCTGTACTGCAACACCATAATAACTGTGATTAACATGTTTTATTTCCTCAGGGCTCCATGTTGCGACCAAGGGAACACAGTGATGAATCGGCCGAGAAGAGGCCTTCTGATGACTCTGCTTCTCCCTCTCTGGTACATCATGTTCTCACATGTCTCATGAAACCCTTTTAGACTCGTTTTAGTTCCACGGTGTGATAAATAGTTTTACATCTGTATAAACAGGATAAGAAGAGGCTGATCAGAAGAGTGAGGAGTCCATCCAGACCGAGGGCGTGGCTGTCTAATTCTTACAAACCAAAATTTGGGACGCGAGTCCAAAGACGGTAAGACTGACGGCTTGAGTACAGCAAGTTTGTATTTAGTTTTCCTCCCAAATATTCATTTACTTTTTGCGTTTTTCCCCCTCTCAATTTATGCAATTTTCAAAGGGAGGACCACTTCTACAAACCTGGCTTTGCAAACCAGAAGTACCAACACTTAAACCACCGGGGTAACTTTCACCGGAGGGGTCATTTCCATCCTAAACTTCACCAAGCCTCACCAAGGGACAGGGAACGGGAGGAGAAGGAGCGGTATGAGCCGAGAGAAAGCGGTGAAGGCGGTTCACCTTCAAAACAAAACAACAGTAAGTTGGTGCAGCAAACATCTGTGAAAACCACATTAATACACCAATTATACAATGTTCACTATTGGACCAAAATATGTTTATTTATGGTTTGAATTCTACTCTTTGGGTTACAATTAAAGTAAATATTGATTCTACAACATACAATCATATTTAAGACAATGCAGAGGATACACTTTCCCTGTTACAATATAAAAACTCCCCTGTGCACAAAGTGAGGTTTATAAAGAAATGGTTGTCAGAGAGGGGTGAGGAAGAACTGAAAGACCTCCCTACGAGCGAACATCTCTGGCAATGCATATAAAGGCCTCAGCTCTTCTTTATACTCCTCGTAGCTTGTAATGACGAAGGCCTCATTGACCCTGAGTCAGGTACATAATCACTGCGAGACATGGACTTGATAAAACACACTTTTACAGACAACTGGGATTTTAGAGGTTAGGGTTTTCACACGCCTTTCATTTGGAAAAGGGTATGATTAAGATACAATTATAAGAACTGCTGTTGTAAAACTGCTTTCTTTTAGACTATGATTCTCAGTGGTGTTGGGCAATGTGTGAGGCTACAGGACTTTATTACTGATGAAAGGTCAAACCAGGCTATTGCCCATTTTCACAGATTGCACAGATTGTGTACTTGTACTTTGACCTTGACACTAAAGACGGTCCTACTGAGCCACAAATATGTCTTGTCGTTTGTTGTTGTCCATCAACATTTAGTGTTTTAATTAAGGGTTTTGCATGATTCCTAATGCACCTTTAAGGGACCATTTACACTTGGCACGACAGAAAATACCCACATTTCCCAAATTGTGAAACTACTCTAAACCACTAACTACTAAAAGTAATGCCTATGTTTTTGGGATAAGCTGTTGATAATAATTCTCGCCATTACAATATAAAGCACTGCATACATCCTGAACATAAACAGATATTTATATCCTGTAAATTAACATAAGAGGACGCCCTGCCTCTCACACACACTGGCTAGACACAATAGCAGAAGCACATACACACATATAAAACAGTTCAAACATACACACTTAAACAGATTACCCCTAAACAAAAAAACTACAAAAAATGTTGAAAATGTTTGTTTTTGTTGTCATCCCTCGTACATGAATAATACACTATTGAAAAATGCACGTCACAAGCTGTACAGTTTCACTGTGCACTTTATTAAATGACCATCAGGTGGCAGTATAAGCAAGCAGGCAGGCACACAAATGCACATTTCCATGGACACTTTGCATTACAAATATTTGGAGGGCATTTGCTCATCGTGGTATGTGTTGGTTGGTTGGTTGGTAGTCACAGTGATGGCAACAAACCAGTGTTATATAATGCTGACCAAAAAGAAGCTTTTCCTGTTCTAAATAGATGGATTGTGATGTGATGTAATAGTCCATGCTTTATTCATTATATGTCCCAGGATGTAAACAGTGTAATTTAGTCATAGGTAGGTTTATTAGATACTTGAGAATTACTACTTGACTCATTTGTCAGTGGGAGTCTGGAAGTAAACAGTAAGGGCTCAACAATTGTTACAACCATGTTCCCTTGGTTTTAACACAAACTGTGAATGTTTTTGTTGATCTTTTCATCATTACAAAGTGGTTGTTTTTAAGGACTGAGCTGTTGGTACTGTATGTTTTTATCTTTTCTTGCACCCAGGCACTGTATCCGTGCGCACACTGCAGCACTGTGGAGGTGTGTGTTTGTGTATGTGTGAGTGTGGAACAGGTTTTTTGTGTGCCTGAGTGATGGTGCGATGATGGTGACTCATCGCTGATTTGTGTGTATGAGAGCGAGAGGGAGAGACTAGCCAGCAGTATGTAATGAGCCATAACAAAACTATTTATTCACATAGGAATACTGCATTCCATTAATACAACATTTCCTAATATCAGCAGGTTTTGCTTAAATATGTATCGATTGTTAGACCGTGATACTTCACGACAAAACAAAAACATCGCAGGAGGATGGAGAGAAAAACGAGGCCTTTAACATCAATGGTGGTCTAAAGATACACATATAAATGCTGTAGGGGCTTATAGGCATGGGTATCAGAAAAAGAAGGCCATCTCTCCTTTCTCTTGCTGTGTTGTTGTGTTGACCCTGTGGTTTGTCTGTTTTCCAGCAAGCAGATCGTTCTTACCCAGACCCAGCTCCAACAGGGACAAGGACCTGCAGTTTGTAAGTTCACGAGAAGAAAATAAATCTGCTCTGCTTTTCCCTTCACTGGTTTACCATTTTGCAAAAAAATAGTGGTCCACCATTTTTTATAATTGGAATTCTTAAATATTTTCCATTTAAGAATTGATGTAATATAGTGCTGCACTGTCTGAACCGTGTTATTGTGATATCTTGTATGAAAGCTTTAATTCAAAATAAATATGTTTTTGAAAGGGATTTTCTGTCTTGTGAAATGAACAACCTGATGAGAAACAAGGGCTGCACCCTGTGATCGTTATTGATTCATCTGCTGATTTATTTATTTGGTCCTCTTTTAGCTTAAGGCCAGTCTCCCAAGACGTTTATACTGAGAAATTGCTTTTTCTAATGTCTGTTTTTGTCGAGTGATATTCAGTTTAAAATTCCATTAAATAGTGTAGTGGGTACACCATTTTTCTTGATCAGATAGCAACATTAATAAATCATTTAAAAAAGCCAATTGCTTAAGGAGAAGTCATTTACATATTTAATTTTTGACTACATGCAGTCAGAACAAATTGTGCATTTATAATAACTTGTGTTACAAGTCACCATGTGGAACTTCACTTTAGTCATCTTGTGGCCATTAGCAGCACAGTCATCATCACTTCATCATAATGTTTTTTGGCCAGCTGTCCGATTACTATGATCCAACTCCTGTCTCGTTTTTTCTTCTTCAGGTTTATCAGAGCGACAGGAGCCAAAGCCGAGAGAGCAAAGAAAGAGAACGCAGCAGAGAGAGTGAGCTCCCTTCAACTGCGAGCCATACGGCGACACGAGACAGAGCCATCCAACACAAGAGGAGGGAGATAGATGAGGTAGAGGAGTGTCATTTCATAAACACACACCTTGGAAGAAGGGTTATAAACAGATCGAGGAAGAGGGGAGATAAGAGAAGCTGGGATTAAAGACTGACAAAGAAAATATGTTAGAGCCGACAGGAGACAAGACAAGAAGATTTGTTTCCTGTAGTCTAAGCATTCATTTTGAAATGTTATTATTGTCTTCACTTTTCTGAGAACTGACAAAAAACGTCTTCTCATTATTATGGTTTGACTTGATTTATGGTGTTTTAGTTTTCTAATTGAGCAAAAACACAACATGATTCTGTTTTTTATGTAGTCTCACATGCATCATAAAAGGCTCCGACACGTGCCTTAATGCGGTCCTCAATGTGACAGGCATCACATAATGCTCTGCTCAGTGTGTGTGTGTGTGTGTGTGTGTGTGTGTGTGTGTGTGTGTGTGTGTGTGTGTGTGTGTGTGTGTGTGTGTGTGTGTGTGTGTGTGTGTGTGTGTGTGTGTGTGTGTGTGTGTGTGTGTGTGTGTGTGTGTGTGTGTGTGTGTGTGTGTGTGTGTGTTGTGTGTGTGTGTGTGTGTGTGTGTGTGTGTGTGTGTGTGTGTGTGTGTGTGTGTGTGTGTCCACCCACTTGATGGAAAAGATAGTGTCTTGCTTTTTCATATCTCCATGGTTGCAGGATTATAAAGATATTCGAGAAAAGCTGGTCAGGCAACAGGTAGCCGATGCAAACATTTCCACAAAGCTCAGCCTCCAGGCTCCATTCTTTGAACGTTACTGCAGATTGTTAATGCATTCAGTGGTAATTGGAGATGCATGACTAGACTTCTCACTTCGCTCATTTGTTGTGCTCTCTTCCTTCCTTCTGCTCCAACACTTTGTCACTCTTCAAACCATTTATCTAATTTGCCCTAAAACCGGTGTGTGGTGTGTGTGTGTGTGTGTGTGTGTGTGTGTGTGTGTGTGTGTGTGTGTGTGTGTGTGTGTGTGTGTGTGTGTGTGTGTGTGTGTGTGTGTGTGTGTGTGTGTGTGTGTGTGTGTGTGTGTGTGTGTGTGTGTGTGTGTGTGTTTCTTGTGTTGTGTGTGTGTGTGTGTGTGTTGTGTGTGTGTGTGTGTGTGTGTGTGTGTGTCTTGCAGGTGTATTATCAGGAATGTGAAATGTTTGGCCTTGTGGCAAAGATGTTGATCGCCAAGGATCCGACGCTGGAGCAGTCCATTCAGTCGGCGCTGCAGGAGAACCTCAGGGACATCGGCAAGCGCTGTGTGGAGGGCATGGAGAAATTCATCGAGGAGTACGACTCCAAGGAGCTGCCTCACTAATCAGTCACAGACGTCCCATCATTGATCCTATTGTTCAGAATCGTCTATCGTGTGATTGAACACTGCTTTTGCTGTTTGTTTTTGCTTGCAGAACGTTTGTACATTGTTGTATGCTGTCTGGCCGTATGGTGAGCAGCACTGGTAAAAGAAAATGAAAGTAAACTGTGATAATAATTCGTAGCTTTGATTTTTTTTAAGTTTGATGATTATAGTGAAAGAATACACTGGTTGTATCACTTCAAGTGTGCTTATAAAGAAGTCAACACATTTATTTTGACATGTAAAACTTGCTTTTCAGAATATTAAATTGTATTTACAGGATAATAAACGTGTGGTTTGAAAATACTTTCAATGATTTATTCATGGGAATATGTGAAACACAATACCAAATCATAATAGGAAATACATTAATGGGTCAGAAGCTAACATTGTTGTTTAAGTTAAAGTATTTAAGTATTACTAGAATGACGAATAATTCCTTTTGATGCTTTTGCTTAAGCTGGATGGATAAAGTATGGCCCATATTGGATTGTTATAAATGTCAGCCGTAAATAAGAAATTTGCAGCACAGAAATGTCAAATGTATTTTTTTAAGTTACTTAGGAACACTCCAGACTGACAAGTTATAGTTTCACATGTAAAATGTTCTGCTCTTTTCATATTGAATTCCTAAAATGGCACTCAAAGATTCTACACTTAAAGTTCAGTTTACTCACCATGATAATGCCTTCTCAGTCTGTAAAAATGGCTTCATTATTTCATCTGTGAATCTGAAAGAGCTTTGTCAAGTCTAAAAAAAAACCTCATGATGTAATTGACGTCATTGCAGCTCAGGCCTGGTGACTAAAAATCTATAACAAAGTTTGTGTTACAAACTGGTGCTGTGGAGAGAAAGATTGGTGTTATCCAGACAGAGGGTCAAATGAGAGATGGTATCCAGTTGCATTATGGGAATTATAGGATCAAGTATTTTCTGAGCCTGACACATAACAAGTAGGATGTTATTTGCGAGTACCCCTTCAAATGAACAGATGTAGCTATCCATATGGTGAAGTTATGGTGTGTATCTGTTGGGCTCTGGTTTGATCACTGGCTAACATTACAATAACATACTAGTGGCATGGTGGGTACAACGTTTTGGTCTAGATTCTAGACCAGGGGTAGCCAACACGGTGCCCGCGGGCACTCAGTCGCCCGCAGGGGCAACGTGAGGCGCCCGCCGGGCACGTTCTAAAAATAGCTCGCGAAGAAAATCCAAAATGTAAAAAATACACAAAACAAAAAACGAAATGTAATTAAAATAATCTACCACATGCAAACGAAACCTAAATCATAGCGAACTCTATCTACTTACTACAACTCTATATCTATCTAACACCCCTCCTCCCCCCACCCCCTACAATGAATATCGACCAATCACGTTCTTGCTTGATTTGCGGGACCAGCGTTGCAGTCGGGAAGAAAAGCAATGTGGCACCTCCCCGCTGATTTTCCTTCTGGCAGAATCTACACATCAGCCCCATTGAACAGCCTAGTTGTGCCAGCCTATACAACACATGAGGGCCATAGTTTTACTGTGTGTGTTGTAACTTGCATATATTTATTCCACTTGACGCACACACACGCATGGCGTAATCTCCAGGGGGGACATGTCCCCAGCACTTTTCGAAATCCCGTTTGCCACGGAGGAGCACACAGCCTGTGTGTGCGTGTGTGTGTGTGTGTGCGTGTGTGTGTGTGTGAGAGAGCACCCCTTTATCTATGTAATATAGATAAAGTAAGAAATCATTCCAATGTGTACAATAGGGCAGTACAAAAAACAGTTTAAAAGGGGAGTGATTAGTAAAATATACATTAATACAAATAAAGAATGCTAACTAGGTAACACAAGATAAGAATAAACAAGTTGAAATGATTTGTTATTGGTTGTGATCATATTCTAAAGATGTTTGGATTATTGAAAAGTATACAGCTCCCTTTCATGAGTGTTGAGAGCTGTATCCATAGATTCATTTTGTGCTCAAAGTGCACCAGATTGATGCATTTCACTTCAACATTTAAAAAAAAATCTTCCCGGGGTTGCATGCCCCCGGACCCCCCTAGAGGAGGTGAGGACCCCCTAGAGGAGGTGAGGTCCCCCCTGGAGGATGTGAGGCCCCCCCTAGAGGATGTGAGGTCCACCCCCAAATAAAGCAAGTTAAAATAATTAAATGACATGTTCTTTTAGTAAACACTGAAACGGGTCCCACAGACCCAAACAGCACACAAAGGTTAAAGGTCAGCATATAATAATGTTAAAATGTGCTAAATATATACACTGCAAAAAAAAGAAGAAAAGAGGAGTAAAAGTGGCCCCCGACTTGTTTTATTTTTTGAAAGTAGCCCTCATCCTAAAAAAGGTTGGTGACCCCTGGTCTAGACTAATATCCCAAAATTAATATTTGGATTGCCATGAAATGTGGTACAGACATCCATAGCGGATCTTAGAACAGCAAACTCCCTTGAAATGTTTAAAAGCAAATTAATTAATTAAATTATCTTTCTTTTAATTTGGGTTAACTTTCAGTTGTCACTAGTATCATTGTTCATGTTTTACTGTATTTTATTTTCTGTTTTGCTTTTATTTTACATTTTTAATTTAGTTAAAATTGTTTTATTTTAACATATCACTGTTAATGTTTTATCTTGTTCTGTATTAATTTTAATATTATTTTAATATTGTTATGTTTTCTGTAAAGCACTTTTGGCTGCTTTGTGCATGAAAGGTGCTATACAAATAAAGTGTATTATTATTATAGTAACCAGAGGATTAATCATATTACACTTGATTAGTATTCCTCTAACTGCCAACAGGTCAAAATGTGTCCAGTATTTTGTTTAGGACCAAATCCTCATCAGCCTCAGCTATACTTTTTTTGATAGTGCTCTTCTGCACCTGGGAGCAGCTCCTACGTTTCCCTGGAACATTGAATTGTGGGACAAAAGGCCTTTTTTCACAGCAGACATCTTGGCATGTCACAGCAGGGAAAGCAGCAGGTGTGATTGATCAATTTAATCACAACAGCTGCAATCCATTCAGGTGAGCCAGTTTCAGTTTGCAGGTATTGTACATGCTGCCTCGTAGGGACAACTGATGGAACTGAGCCATGGTGTTGATTGGTCTACTCCTGATATGGTGAGTCAAAATGGCTGCCTTGAATTTGTCTTCAGTTCACAAAGTAATAGTGACTTATTTTATATCTCAGTTGAAGCACCTGCTATAAATAATATGCATCACGGATATGGGGCACAGCCAATGTGTCACTCCAGCCGACCAATGAGAACAATTTATAGGTACAACTTGCTGGTTGTTCATTGAAGTACACTTTATTTTCATTATGAGACAACAACAACAAATCAACATGCAAGTCTCCCTATCTCTACATCATGTTATACAAATAATGATTCTTTAGTTACAAAATATATAAATATTTAAGACCATATGTACAGAACATTTACATTACTACATCCATTAATTTATTAAGTTTATTACTATATATACATTAAACAGGTTTTAATTCTGTAATATTCTCATTATTATTTGCATTTTTATGATTATAAGCATTATTTGTAATTATTATTATTATTATAATTCTTAATCATCTAAGGGTAACTCTAAAAAAAAAAACAAAGCATGTTGCAGAAGAGAAAACGGGACCATACCTGACGTTACTGTGCCTAAATGTTCAAGGATCAGAGGCCGTGTGGCGCTCTGTCCTTGGTAAAGCATGGAGAGCCGGCTATGGAGAGCACAAAGTTCAACAGACTATTTGTACAAGGTGATAACAGGGCTAGCGAGCCAACACTATATTCCAGCAGCATTTGGATTCCACTGAGGTAAACAATGACATAGCTTGGAATCTAGCACGTAACTTTCACTATCCCAACACAATTTCTTGTTTGTCCACATAGAATACGTTTTTCTGTCCAGGGATTGTTGGATCTCTGAGCTGCGACAGTCAGATCGCTGCACTTCCACCATCTTTACTTCCCTTTTTCAAACTGTGAAGGAAATGTCCGATCTCTCTGTACCAGGGATTCATGCACGGACGGGCCCGGAGATCGTGTTATTTACCTTGACCACATTATATTTAGTAGTCAAATTCATCAGTACTTGCTGGTACCATCAGAGGAGTTGATCTCTATCATTGTAAACATTTCTGTTGTGTAAGCCAGCTGAGCTTCCTCTTATGATTAGATCATCCTGTGTAGGTGTACACAAACACTACCCGGTGTAGAGTTGTGTAAGCTCACATGCACACAAAACTGGCCTTTTCTCTCTTCCAACCTAACACACACACACACACACACACACACACACACACACACACACACACACACACACACACACACACACACACACACACACACACACACACACACACACACACACACACACACACACACACACACACACACACACACACACATACACACATACACACATACACACATACACACACACACTGACACACACACTGACACACACACTGACAACTGTCTCACTCTCACCTTCCCACGCTCTCTGTTTCACCTTCTTTGTTGCTTTAACCGTCTCCTTACCTCTCATTCTCTCATCTCTTTCACTCTCCTGCTCATCCCTCACCATCCCCTTGCCCTATATCTAAGAAAGTATGCAGTTTTTGCTCTTCCTCCTTTGGCGGTTGTGCATCTGGCCATGAATCGGCCCGTGCACAGGTCCGTGGTGGGGAGCTATCCCAGAGGGACTGTAACGATGGCGCAGCTCCTCGTTGTTGAGGTAGCAAAGCTGCACGGGCCGAGGAATTGGTTCACCCAGGAAATAACCTTCATCTGCCTCAGACTCGGAGGAAGAGGAGCAACTGGAGCACCATGGGTCAGTAGCCTCCATGTGACCGTCGCCCCAGCACTGACCACCCAGCCCCGGGGGTTGCCAGCCAGCATTTTGCAGGGTGAGATCAGAGGTGGTGCGGGGGCAGGGTCGTTGGGGCTGCTGTCTGTACCCGCCGGGCTCCAGACCGAACAACTCCCGAGCGGCGTTACCAGCGGGGAAGCGATCGTAATCCTCCTGGACGCGGCGGTAGGGCAGCTCCACCATCTGAGCAGGACGGTCTGCCACCAGGTGCAGTGCGTTGTCAGAGCGGGAGCGACGGGAGCGTTTGTGATGGCGGCTACTGCGGTGCTGCCCGTTGCCGTGATTTCCACGGTGGTGTTTGCGGTGTCTTGGTTGTGGCTGCTGCTGTTGCTGCGTCACAGGTTCCTGCCCGTTGATGCGTCTGCGGGGCATTCTGTCGCTCATTGGAGCCATCCGCAGGTTTCCACTGCTGCCCATCACCCCAACGCGACCTTTGCCATCGAATCCCAGCGGCTGTGGGCCATCCCAGTACTGCAGCGGGTAGCCGACCCTCAGCGGACCGTACATGTTGTTGTTGTAGGGCCGGGAGGAGGACAGAGACTCTGTGCTGTGGAACTGGACTGAGGAGCTGAGGGTGCCCATGTGGCTCTTTTCAGACACGTTCACACCCGAGTCTTTACTCAGGTCAGGCATGGAGAACCTCGACAAATGCTCCTGGCGCTTAGTGACCCCGTCCAGAGAGTTACCTGCTAAAAGCATAAATCATATGTCACATTACTATATAATTCAGCATTTAATGTCATTGAAACATACTGGATCATGTACATCAATTTACCTGTAGCATTGGACATAGTGAAGGAGTCCATGGATCCACGAGGAGTCTGTTCTAGAGGAGTGAGGGGCCCGTTGAAGCTCATGGCGTTGATGGGGTTCCTCCTGGTCAGAGGGGGTCTGCCGTCTCTCTGGAATCCATGCAGGCTGATGCTCCTCTTGTCAGAAAATCCCTGATTCTGGCTGGGCATCTCGTTGAAACTCATCTGGGTGCGAAGCTTGTTGGGCCTGAACTCATCCTGGCTGTGGTGGGTCCAGTTCTCGTTAAAGGAGTGGCCCCTCAAAGCAGCCATGGGAGTCCTCTTGGCATTGCCTTGTTCCTTCCCCCAGGAGTCAGGCCTTTTCCCTGGATTGGCAGCAGTCTGAGCTGGAGGATGAGCATTTGTGTTTGGATTGTAGCCCTGCCTGGGGTTACACTGAGCCAGCAGATGTATAGGTGCGGGTGTAGGTGTGGGTTCTAGCTGGGGCCCCTCATACACGGCAGGGACGTAGGGGTCATCGCGGCTCATCCACACCTGGTTAAGGCTCGGGGCACGGCTTGGAGTGCGGCTGGGCGTGCGGTTAGGGGTCCTGCTCGGGGTCTGGCTAGATGAGAGGCTTAAACGGTCCATCTGGCCGGAGAGGGGTTCAATTTCAGCAGACAGACGGTCGGGCATGGGGGGGGGAGCTGACTGGCGGGGCTCGGCACTCCGCTCTGCATTCCTGCGCTCATTTTTGCCAATCTTGGTGCTGTGGCGGGATTCACGGGAACGGGCACTTTGGAAGGCAGAGTCGGAGGAGTCAGACTCATCTGGATCCTGATTGGTTCAAATAAAACACATAAGTACAATTATTACCTGCTAATATCTAGACATTAAGAATAGATTGTTTGGGCTTTACAGAAAATACAGGCAGAAGGGATGTTCATAATGGTCACAAGTGATGATTGAGAGACATTATCTTTCAAATGTTTTTAACCTTCAATGTATGTTTAAATGATCCAATAATATACAATCCCTAGTCCTGTCTTTGGTGACCCACCTGTCCAGCGCTGCAGGATCGTGAGCAGAAGATCTGCCCCTGCTTTGGCAGAAAGGGGCGGCCCAGCAGAGAACGCTTGCAACGGGCACAACAAAAGCACTCCTCGGTGGCGTGCCAGTGCTGCCCATCATAAGTCATCTGGCCTTGGTCAATGCCTTTGGTAAGATGTAAAAACAAATATCATGTTATAAGATAACATACCAGAAGTAGGTTTATTAGTAAACGCACAAGCAGTCCAGCTTTAACTGATAGAAAATGGTAATGTGATGGCAGCTTCTCCAATAATACTGAAAATGTTATTCTACAAAGCCTGAGCGGCTAATGAACCGCTGACCACAGCCTGATATTAGCCAGTATATTGAGCTCATTTTAGTGAGATTTGCAATTTAGTGCTGAAATGGACTTGAAAAAAAATATATAAACAGAGGTTTTTTTCTTCTAAAGGAAAACATTTCTGTGCCCATACACATGAATGCTCGATTTGAAGATAGCATGAATACATTTCAGCAGCCGTGCTCCCCAAGTAATCATCTTTCACAGCTTCCATCTGGATACTGCATGGGAGCATCCACTCTTTCACTGTTACTGGAGCTTGGGATGATAATAACCATCCACATCTCACTGCCCTGACTCCGCCTCCTCACAGCTGTGGCACACAGCCTTACAAAGCGGATAACACCCACACTTACAATAAATGGCTGTTTGAGGTTTTCTATGTTAGAGTGGGGTAATAAGTGTCAATGTGTTTTGTTAACAGCTCATACATGTTAAGAGAAATAAACACGTGCTGTACCTATGTGTTCTCCACATGCGTCACAGTACTCTGCATAAAGGGACTCAAAGCAGTTGCAGCAGTGTGGCCGTCCGTCCTTCATGATGTAGCGCTGGCCGCCGAGGGTGGTCTCACACTCGTAGCAACGGAAGTGCTTCATGTGCCAGTGCCTGCCCTCCGCCTCAGTGCATTCATCAGCAAAGATAATCTGCATAACAAAGACATCACAACAGCAAGAGACTCGATTAGATTAAATGATAATAAATCAATATTCTGGCTCTAAACTAGTTTTACACATATTACAAAAAAAGACTTTTAATGCTGCTATAAAAAGCAAAATCATCTGGATGATGATGATGATGTTGTTGTCTGGCGTACCTTAGGGCACCATCCTCGGCTTATTATAATTTTTATAATCATTTTAGATGGCCACTCAAACTTAACATGCCACATATTGCATTCGCAGTGCAATTCCACCAATCTATTATAATATTCCAAACTTCTTAGATTATATTATTTGGATAAGTTAAGAATTTGAGAAACTGTATTATTGGGTAGAGCAGAACAGTTTTTTTCTTTATTTAAACTGTCTATAAACTTACCACCCATCAGAATCATCTTGGGACCCTTTGGAGGGTTCAATTATCGCTAAACTAATATTAGGCAAGGCAAGGCAAGTTTATTTATAAGAAAATGGCATTTAAAATCAGTCATTAAAAAGAAAAGCTAATAAAATAAACATTAAAAGAAAAAATACATGGATAAAAGTTACAGTGCAGTCTAAGATATGAATAGTTCAATTAAAAGCAGCGACAAAAAGAAAAGTCTTCAGCCTGGATTTAAAAGTAGTCAGAGTTGCAGCGGACCTGCAGGTTTCTGGGAGTTTGTTCCAGATATTTGGAGCATAATAACTGAACGCTGCTTCTCCATGTTTAGCTCTGACTCTGGGGACAGAAAGCTGACCAGTCCCTGAAGACCTGAGAGATCTGGATGGTTCATAATTTAGCAGGAGGTCAGAAATTTATTTTGGGCCTAAACCATTCAGTGCTTTATAAACCAGCAGCAGTATTTTGAAATCTATTCTTTGACACACAGGAAGCCAGTGTAAAGACTTCAGAACATGTGATCCACTTTCTTAGTGTTAGTGAGGACTCGAGCAGCAGCGTTCTGAATTAGCTGCAGCTTTCTAATAGATTTTTTAGTGAGACCTGTGAAGACACCATTGCAGTAGTCGAGTCTACTGAAGATAAAAGCATGGACAAGTTTTTCCAAATCCTGCTGTGACATTAGTCTTTTAATCCTAGATATGTTCTTTAGGTGATAGTAGGCTGATTTAGTAACTGTTTTAATGTGACTGTTGAAACTCAGGTCAGAGTCCATGACTACACCTAGATTTCTGGCTTTATCTGTTGTTTTTAACATTGCAGACTGAAGCTCAGCGCTAACTTTTATACGTTCTGACTTGGCTCCAAAAACCATTACCTCAGTTTTATCTTTGTTTAATTGGAGAAAGTTCTGACACATCCAGTCATTGATTTGTTCAATGCACTTACTCAGTGTTTGAATTGGAGCATAGTCTCCTGGTGAAATTGTTACGTAAATTTGTGTGTCATCTGCATAGCTATGGTAACTTATTTGGTTGTTCTTCATTATCTGAGCCAGTGGTAGCATGTAGACGTTAAAGAGAAGAGGCCCCAAGATGGAGCCTTGAGGTACCCCACATGTCATATTTGTCAACTCAGATGTGTATTTACCTATAGAAACAAAGTTGTTTCTGTCCTTTAAGTAGGATTCAAACCAATTTAGAACTGTTTCCGAAAGTCCCACCCAGTTTTCCAGTCGGTCTAGTAATATGTTGTGGTCAACAGAGTCAAACGCAGCACTGAGATCTAATAATACTAACACTGAAGTTCTGCCACTGTCTGTGTTTAAGTGGATGTCATTAAAGACCTTTACAAGAGCAGTCTCAGTGCTGTGGTTTGGACGAAAGCCTGACTGGAACACATCGAAACAGTTATTTAAATGCAAGAAATTACTCAACTGTTGAAAAACAACTTTTTCAATGATTTTACCTAGAAATGGGAGGTTTGATATGGGACTGTAATTGTTCATTACTGAAGCATCTAGATTATTATTAGGGATCCAATCATCCAATAACAATCTAGACATTACTCCTACATTTATTTTTTGAAGGTAATTCTTCAATCCAATATTATTGTTAATAAAAAAAAAAATCGAATTTTCTTTCCATATCTCCAGCTGGCATAAACCTTGTGGGTTATCAGATAAACATGATGTGTTGGTCATACAGAACTATAAGGAAAATACCATAATTTGTATAAAAAATTCATGAAATGGAAATTATTATCATCCCGGGCCAGCTGGCCACACATATGGTTACTTTCAGAGACATGCCAAGGGTACTAAGGTCTTTTCACTCCAGATCAATTTCAATCACATCGAAGTCTCTGAGCTATGAACCATTCAGCCATGTCCAGCCCTGAAGGCTCCAGGCCCAGACAGCGCACCTCATCACAGGCGGTGCAGCGGGGTTTCAGCCTCTCCGCGTGGTGTCGGCCGCAGAAGATCTTGCCATCCTGGTAGAAGTAGATGAGATCCACCAACAGCTCCTCACACATGCTGCAGACAAAGCAATGAGGGTGCCAGACTTTGCTGTGCCCTGCCCTCGCAGCAAAGACCACCATGTCGCCTCCGTTTATTTGACCACCGCACTGTAGGAGAGGAGATAGGGAGAGAGGATAGGATAGGAGACAAGAGAGATAGGAGAAGAGTTAAGGTAAATAAAGGAAGGAGAAGTAGAAGTCGAGAGACAATAAAAGGAAATTAGTTTCGATGATAAGAGAGGAAAGAAAAGAAGAGAAAGGTAGATGGAGGAATTAGGAGAGAAGATGGAAAGAGAAGAAAGACAATTAGACAAAGTAAGAAAAGGAGAGAAGAGAGGAAAGGTTAAAAATAAAAGGGATAAAGAAGGAGTGAGAGAAGAAGCCGAGAAAAATATGAATACAAAATGTATGATTTTGATTTGATGAGACATTTAAAAGCAACCCAGGTAAGGAAAACCAAGAGTGTTATTAAAAAAAATATGCTGAATTTTACAGAAAGAAATAGTAATGCAATTTCTTGAGACAGAAATAAGTGTTTGGGATGTTCGTTGGTATCTTCAATTAGTAAATTGGAAGACAAAAGGGCAAAAGGCAGGATGACTAGTTTTTTTACCTTGTCACAGATGGCGCCACTGATGGTGAGGGGGAAAGGACGGATGTTGCCTCTGCCCAAGTTGTCCTTCTTCCGCTGGTTGCTGAAGATCTTTAGTTCCCGTTTCTCCTCCTCGTCCAACGCGTTACAGTAACGCACCTGAACAACAAAGTTCATCATCAGGAATTCTCATAATGTCAAGAAAACTTCTGGAAGTCATTTCAAAGATAAACATGTCAACAAAAATAGGAATTTTCTGTTTTGTTAAAAAGGTTTTACCTCATTGTCATGGGGAGGCAACTGGTGCAGCAGCTGTTTGATGCGATATTTCTCTCCAGGGCTGTTTATATAGGGAACCTTTTCTTCGGGTAAGGAGTTATAGTACTGATGTACCTGAAACCAACAAGAACAAACATGTGGTGATCAAATATCAAACCTGAACTCACTGATGTTTGAGAACATCGGGGCGCAGACACCTGTTGTAAAAAGAAATGTATGTATGTATGTATGTATGTATGTATGTATGTATGTATGTATGTATGTATGTATGTATGTTTATAATGCCTTAATAAGATATTCTAGGGAACTTGTTAGTGACATTAGCATTCATTTCAAGTTGTGTTTCTTATGATGAATGTTAGTCTAATCTCATATCTGTTTTGTTTTCTACTTTGTAGTTACTTTGTAGGAATAGCTGATAAAAGCATTAGTGAACCAAAACAGGTATAGGTGGCTGAAAAATCCAAACAAAGAGCTGAATGATTCTCACAAAGACATATTTCAGTAGTCATATGATCCATTATTAAATTAAAAATGATTGACTAGAGTCATGATAAGAACCTGACTTTCACAGTTTTAACTAAGTCATTATGTTTCTATTATGTACAGCAAAAGGTAGGCTAATATAATATAATACTGTATAATTGTACACAATCTACATTAATAAATGGAGACAGACCTGTGTAAATTAATCTGAAATTGCTTTTAAATGAATCCTGGTATTCATGCTTTGTTTTTGCTTTGCCCTTGGAAATTAGTGTCTGGTTTTTAAAGTGTGGCCCAATGAGCTCTGTGCTGCAGCTGCTGCAGACACAACATTGAACAGCATCAGGTGCTTTACATTTTTTTTCATCAGCTAATATTCACATTGCTTAAAGGAAAACTCCATGCTGGTAGTACAATTAGAAATTAGGATGCAGGAGGACTTGTTATCCGTGGCCTGAACCTCCTTTTGTCTTTGCATGTTAGCAGGGGAAATAGAGAAAGCCTTGATTGGGTTTGAGAAGTAAACACTCAAAGAAAGGAAGGCAATCTTGTCACTTGTGTCTGATTTTCAGCAAAACAGCACTGCACACAAAGTGGTTTAGTGTTCAGTGCAGTGTAAAGATCTATTTTGCTGACGTTGTTGTGATCTAATTTACATAATAATAGGGGTGGAGAGCGCGAGGGAGAGGAAGTGTGCCCCTGAGTGCTGAGTGCTGCCCCTCAGATTCTATATGGCCCAACCATTTTTATATATATATTTTTTTAAATACTATGTGCATGCCTTTTTATATAATAGTGTTCTATTTTATTCATCTTTATGCTGCACTTGTAAAGGTCTTAAATTACATTCATTTAAACATAGACAGTGGCAGAATATCAGTTTTATTATTATTAGATCTCAGCGCTGCCTTTGATACTGTTGACCACAACATATTGCTAGACCGTCTAGAAAACTGGGTGGGAGTTTCAGCAACAGCTCTAAATTGGTTTAGTACCTACTTAAAGGACAGAACAAACTTTGTCTCAATAGGCAACTACACATCAACTTTGACAAATATGTCATGCGGGGTTCCTCAAGGCTCCATCTTAGGACCTTTTCTTTTTAATATTTATATGCTACCTCTGGGTGAAATTATTAAAAAGAGCGATCTAAGCTATCACATCTATGCAGACGACACCCAGATTTATTTTAAAATCACACCAGGAGACTATTCTCCGATTAGAACACTGAGCAAGTGCATTGAGCACATCACTGACTGGATGACTCAGAACTGTCTCCAACTGAACAAACAAAAAACTGAGATAATTTTTTTTGGAGCAAAGAAGGACCGATTAAAAGTAATCGCAGAGCTTCAGTGGGCAGACTACAAAACCACTAATAAAGCAAGAAATCTAGGTGTAGTGATGGACTCAGACCTGAATTTCAACAGCCACATTACAACAGTCATTAGGTCTGCTTATTATCACCTGAAGAATATATAGACTATATATGTTATTATGAATACATTTGCCTCCGAGTCCTGCATGAACTGTGCATAGACTGTATTTTAACATTGGTCATATGGTGGTACTTGGAGAGCCAACTATTTTCTCAGGTGGTACTTGGTGTAAAAAGGTTGAGAACCACTGATATAGAGGATTACAAAACTAATGTCACAACAGGACTTAGAAAAGCTTGTCCATGCTTTTATTTTCACTAGACTCGACTACTGCAATAGTGTATTCACAGGGCTGACAAAAAAATCCATCAGAAAACTGCAGCTGATTCAGAACGCTGCTGCACGTGTCCTCACTAACACTAAAACAGTGGATCACATCAGTCCGGTTCTGAAATCTCTACATTGGCTTCCAGTCGGCCAAATAATTGATTTTAAAGTACTATTGCTAGTTTTTAAATCATTACATGGTTTAGGACCAAAAGTATATTGTTGAACTCCTACATAATTACGAGCCATCAAGGTACCTCAGGTCTTCTGGGACGGGTCTGCTATCGGTTCTGAGAGTAACAACAAAACATGGAGAGGCAGCATTTAGCTGTTATGCCCGACACAAACTACCCAAATCATGCACGTCCGCAGAAACGCTTACTATTTTTAAATCGAGACTAAAAACATATCTCTTTGCCGCTGCTTTTAATTGAGATGATCATATTCAAACTACAGTATGCCTTTTACATGTATTGTATACCTGTGGTGTTTATTTTTTATTATTTTATTATCTTTGCTTTGTAATGCCTGTTGTAAAATGCCATTATATATGTGTTTTTACTGTATTTATTCCTAAAAAGTCTTTTAATTTGTTTTGTAAAGCACTTTGAATTGTCGCGTACAGAAAAGTGCTATATAAATAAACTTGCCTTGCCTTGCCTTTATCTACGTATACTATACATTTCCCCTTCCTGGGACAAATAAAGGAAACCTGATTCTGTTTCTGATGTTATACTCTACACCAGTGACCATCAACTGGTGGCCCGCGGGCCATATCCGGCCCGCACGGCGTGGGTGACTGTGGCGTTGGCGGAGTGGTTAGTGCGTTTGCCCCCCACTCTTTTTTTTTACAACGTCTCGTGAGTAATGTGCAGTACCGGAGTCCAACAGAGAGGCAGCAGCTGCAGGACAGTTGCCTGCGTACTGCATAGCATTCCCTGCCCTGAAGAATAAGTGATCCTTGGTTAGCGTGAAGAGTCTGCTAAATGCGCTCCACAGTAGCCCCGCTGCGAGGCTCCAGCGAGCTGACAGTACATGAAGCGTGCCCCACTAGCACCCAGGGCCGTCTCTCCCTACACCTTGCGGAGGGTGCCTCAACTGAGCCGGAAATGCGGCGCACCTATGCGCTTATGCGGCGCAATTAGTGTGGCGTGGCACGGTTTCGCCGCTGCGAGGCTCTACTAGCAGCCCTCAACCCCCCCCCCCCCGTTGACGCTCGCGAAACAGAGGACCTCATGTTGGCCAGGGACGGCCCTGCTAGCACCCCCCCCCCCCCCCCAACAGAGAGGCAGCAGCTGCGGGACAGTAGCCTTCCCTGCCCTGAAGAAGAAGTGATCCTTGGTTAGCGTGAATAACCATCTTCAAATTTCTGGGCTAAAAATCGCTGGCCCCCGTAAGTGTCTCTTGGATTAATTTTGGCCCTTGGACAAATGTAGTTGGTGATCCCTGCTCTACACTCTGGAGGGTGAGACAAATGCTGGGTTTGCAAGTCAGTCACTGCCATTTGAGGAGGGGGACTTCTCCAGAATCTGCTTCTTCAACTGAGAAGAGCTCCGAATGAAAGGAAACAGATGAGAGTTAAGTGATAAGTATATCACTGTTATTCAATTTCAAACATGTGAATCTTATATAGGGCTACTCTCCCTGTGTTGACACATTTTTGTATTTTTAAATTTTGGTTTTGTTAGATGAAAAATGTTCTCGAGTCCGAGGTGTCATCTTTATTCTGCTTATGACTGGCCAACAGTCAAAAATCCAAAAGTATTTAAGTAGAAGAGTAACAAAAATAGAAAGTATTCCTCATTGAAAAGATCAAGTGAATTTGTGCTTAGAAAATTACTTAAGGTTAATCAGCTATCCACATTTTTGCTACTTAGTTTAATGTTTATTGATGTATTGGTAAATTGACAAATAGTTTCAGCTCGGTTTGAAATGATAGAAAGCCCTATATCACCAAATATTGTATTCTACAGCTCTTGATGTCACCATCTGTCTGTATTTCCTGTTTTATTTTTTAAAGTGTTCACCCATCGTGTCATGTCTGTCATTACTCTGTTTAATTACCTGATTCTGTCCATCTGGTGCCCTTGTGTTTTTCCTTCCCTCCCCAGCTGTGTCTTGTCTTGTCCTTGTGATTAGTCTTGTATGTATTTAAGTTCTGGTTTCCTATTAGTTGCCATCAGATCCTTGTTTGTCATTTATGGAAGAGGTCTGTTCATATTGTTTTTGCCAGGCCCGACTTTATCTAAATCACATGCCATTAAAGGTATCTCTGACTTTGACTTTTGTGTCCTGTATGTGTTTCCACCCTGCTCTGCTTGAACCTGACACTTATGTTAACTTTCAGTTTAATTGAGATGTATAAATACATTATTCAAATAATATAAAATATTATCTTTAACTATTTTAGTTTGTATTGGAAAATGGATCCTAGAGAGTCAGTAGTAAATTGTCCAGTCAAGTAATGTCAGTTACAAACGCATGTTTATGTCACAAAATGTAATATGTTCTGACAGCTCAAAGAACAGCACTGCTTGAGATAATTATTTTTCTTTTAAAGTCTGTGTCACACTAATGAAATTGTGCGGAGGGGAAACCCGAAGTGACAGGCTTTAAAATCATTATGTTTAAGTGCATTGAAAAAGCAACAGGCAGCTGCAATTGCCTGCATCCCCTGTTGGATGAGAGAGAATGCAGCCTCTTTCAGCATCCCGTCAAGATGGCTGTCTGGAGAAAATGACTGTTATCAGGGCGGCCTGTCATCTGTTAACAGAGCCCTAAGAATGCTGCCCTTACTATATAAAGACAGAGGTGTTTAAAGCCAATAACGCTGCACATAACTGTGTTTATCTTATGTAAAAAAAAAAAGATTACGAAATATCGTCCTCTTGATGTGCACAATTGATTACATTAGCTTGGTCATGCATGCAATTAAAAAAGGCATTTAAACTGCAAATGAGTCCAGACAGGAAATTGTGAGACCTGGATGCATAAACACATTGCCACACATTTCCAATTAGATTCAGCCAAACATTCACTGACTTAAATTGCTTCCATTCCTCTGGGTTTAGGCTTGCACGGATACACTAAAATACAGAAGAAATCGATGCTAAGCATACCAAATCGATTAAATGGGAAAATAACAATATGGCAACAGTTCTAAAGTGATATTTTCCTCTCATAGTTTTGTGAGAAATCATGTGAAATTAGCTTTTTTGTTTAGGGGGGGAAGGACTCCAAATAACCCTATGTTTTTGAATATATAACGTTTTGATTGATATGTGATTACATATTTTGATAGATGAAAATGTGCGACAAAATGTGCTCAATTGATCTCATGGTTGTCATTCTGGCTGAGTGTGATCTTGCATGGTTCCTACACAGAGTCAGCTTGAACACTGACAGATGAAAAATGTCCTTACAGTTATTCTTCCATGAAGCACCTGACAGCTGAGTCTCATTGGTTTGTATGTCGGCCCTGCCCTTCCCTTCTCCACCCTTCAACACTAATGGACTACGACAAATAAAACACCATAAAGGGGATTTAAAAACAGTAATGATACATTGTCTTGTTTTCAGATCAGTGAATTTTCCATTTTGGAAAATGCCACAGATACTTCATGTTCCAAGGGAGTCATTTTGAAAGATTTGCTTTAGTTTGATACGGTCTGGCTATGCCGAGAAAAAAAATGTCTTTGCTAATGCGGCACTTAGGAGCGACAGGGAGGGAGGTGTCTACTGGGCAAGTTAAATATATTGTGTACCTGCTCAGGACTGAGGCCGGGGGGGACCCAGGCGTATTCCTCCAGTGCACATCCAGAGTCATCATCAGAGGTGGAGTTCCTCTGGAAGTCGTACATCAGCTTGGTGATGGTCTTTTCCATCTCCAGAGACATGGCTGTCACAACATGCTCCTCTACACACACCGCTTCAGTGGACACAGGTATTCCTGTTGAGGAAATAGAGGAGACACTGAGAAAGAGTCGGAGAAAAGGCTTCAAATAAAAACAGGGTATAGAGTGAGCACAAAGAGAACAAAATGGGGAGGTAGCAAAGTCTTCCTCTTATCAGAATTCCAGACTATGTGGCATGTGCAGATTTAGATTCACCTGTGGATAAACATTAGGTGCAGCAGAGCTAAATAAAATATATCTGTGAAACATGCTTCCCTGTATAGCATATTAAAAACCAAAAACACATCAGTTGTTCAGACCTATACAATGCATTCAAGGTGCTTTAGGGCTGTAGTTGGGCACAGGAGGCTTTAAGGTAAATGTTAATGTCAGCAGGTTAACACTCATCTTAGTGCAATGTATGTGTATGCAGAGTAGCATTTAACACAAAGTACAGCTGAGGCTGATGGGAATGTTGTTAGTCATGCAGCTATCTGGTTATAAAAACCAGACAACAAATAGTTATACATCCTGCTGATGGAGGAAAAGTTGGGAGATCATCAAAGCTCTGTTGACCACAAATATTTGTACAAAATGTCCTGATTTAATATCTAACTGTAAACATCTTAGAGTCAAATGGAAATGGAGAAGTTTGTGGAAATCATAATTTTGGATTTTTACAAACTTTCATGGCAATCTTCCTAAATAAATGTTAATCTGGACCAAAACGATGGACCGACTGACAGTCTGCAATGCTATCCCTAAATCAGTGGTTCTCAAAGTGGGGGGCGCAGAGGCATGCCAGGGGGGGCGCGAGAGACCAGGAGGAAAAATGGCTATAAAAAAAAAAAAAGATAAAAAAAATAAAAAATCATAAATTGAAAAATTATTGATTCGAAAATAATATGATACAGTACAGTACTATTACGTCTGGTTCTCTGTGTTTCATTAAAGCTCGGCTCTGTGTGTGTGTGGAACAAGCCATTTTGTGTGCGCGAGCGAGAGAGAGAGCGCACCGGTACCGGAGATCGTTGTTGTTAGCTTCTGGTGCTAGCGAGCTACACTAACGGATATAAGGAATTTTTTCAACAACAAAGTGGAGGAGAGTCCTCTCCTGTCAGACTGAGAGGCTCAGTGAACTAAAGGACTCTCTCAGTGTTATCTCAGTGGGTCTCAAACGTTTTGGTCACCATTAATGTAAACAATTATTTCCGAGGCACACGTTTATAGTGATCATTATAGTTATAAAAAAATAAGAGAATAAATGAAAACCAGGTATAAAATACTATATGACAGTAAAACAAGAATAACGTTTAAAAGGGTGATTTGTAAAATATCCATAAAGAAAAAGTAAATCTGTTTACAGTTCTGTTTCATATGGGTGTTGAGAGAGGTATCCATAGATCTCTCCATGTTGCTCTCAAAGTGCACCAGATTGATGCATTTAACTTCAATATTTAAAAATAAATCTTCCCGGGGGAGCTTGCCCCCGGACCCCCCTATGTGAGGTCCACACACCACCTAGAAAAATAGCACTTTACCCCTGCTTACACCTATATGCCTCAAGCCTTCATTGTTACTGTCACACTGTGTATGTGCGTGGGGATTGTTGCATTAGAAAATTCCACTGTAGCGACCGGTACATTAATGGGAAACCCTAAATGTTTGAGCACCCTCTATGAAACGTCAAGCTACCCCACAGCACCCCCAAAATAAATATCTGGCGCCGCCACTGAGCCTGACTTGTGTTGGGGGGGCCCGACTTTTTTTTTTCTCCAAAGGGGGGGCCTGACAGAAAAAGTTTGAGAACCACTGCCCTAAATCAACAAAAATCTGTAAAAACAATTACTTATGTAGTTCCAGGGTATTGTATCTATATTGCAGAGACCGCTGTGTGCATTCACTGCCTTTATTGAATGAATAGATTAGAGATTCAAATCAATCTTATCCTCCTCCTTCTTTCTGTCTGAGAGAACAGCTGCACACATTACTGACACATGAATAATTAACAGGTGCAGGTATCGCCTCCAACACCAAAATACAAAAATTAAATGCAACTAATTTGACAGACAACGAGTATATTTAATGATCCAGCACCAAGAGCAAGTACGAGTTCTGTTTACATTTCATGGCTTATTGATTTATAAGCTGATGAAGGGAGAGATATTAGAGTCAATTAGTGTCAAGTGGAAGGTTTCTGACAATGTTAAAAACGTACAGAAATGTATAAAATCCATTGTGTTTAATAAGCTTGCTGATGTTGTTACTGAGAAGATGCAATCTGATCAATGTGGAGATGCCAGCAAAAAAAAATGATGTGTTTCTGCAGGTCATGTATCAAGGTCATAGCAGTTAACTGACAGAAACAACACGGCATGGTGGTCGGTGAGAAAGTGTGAACGTTCCCTGATATTTCCGATTCAAAACAATTGCACAACACAGGTCTTTTCAAGCAGTTTCAGACAGCAACATCATTTCCCGCAGATTAGAAAATCACAAGAAAAACAGAGCGTAAGCAGTAGCCAAGGAACAGCAGACATTTCCACAGCCTGAGCCAGTGAGTCAGCCTCCATCCAAGCACCATCTGAGTACTGTTTATCTCTCTAAGATGGGTGCTGCTGATTTCTTTGTGAGGATGGATCACAGGTATGTAACATTCAGCCTGTAGCCTGGCCCGAGGCTGTTATTCATTAGTGCACAGAGGCTGAGGGAGAGAGGGCCTGCTGGGAAACCTGCAGCCTGTTGCGCCAGCTAGACATCAGATAAAACGTGACCTAAGTTGGCTAAATGAAATCACATCAGTGAGCTGCTGACTAAAATGTAAACTACATTCCTGCATTAATATATTGTTTCTTACCATCTACTGGGGCACTAGCCTTTTAATTGTATAGCTATTATAGTGATACATTTCACTTCACATTAGCATTATTACATTCAAAGGAATATTAATATATTTTGTGTTAGATGAGAAGATTAATAACACTTATGTCCTTATGTTAAAACTACAGTCAGCAGCCGGTTAGCTTAGCTTAGCATTAAGGCTGAAGATAAGGGTAATATGTAACAACATTTGCCTACAAGCTCCTCTAAAGCTTACTAATTAACATGTTATATGTTGATGTTTAATCAATACCATGACTAAGTTGCTAAAAAACATATGTGATGTAAGTATAAGCAAGTAGTCACTGAAGTAAGGGACACAGTTAGAAGTGTTCTTGGTGAAAGTCATGTTTTGACCCACCCATCAACCCTGAACTCATCCCTATATGTAACTTCATCTGGGAATCCAGCATCAAATGACACCCAAAAATAAGAAAAGTAAGATAACAAACAACAAAATTGGTGTATTTGTTCATACACCATTTGGTAATACCAGAATAGAAACACATAGACGTCATCAAAAGATGACAAATCTGACTTCCAGCTGTTCTATATTTATTTATAACTTATTTACATCTTGTGAAACGCTAGCCACAAACTAACAACTGGGTTCTGTTCAAATATAGAAAAGTGTACAGAGCTCACGATGAGAGGCTCTTGTGTTCACAGGCACAGCTGCTGTCTGTTGAAAAATGGCTCCAATCTGTATAAGCAAACTGCTCTTCATGCAACAATGTTTTGTTTTCTATGTTCATCAGTGTTGAATACACAAGATTCAATGTTAGCACATGACAGCTTTGGAGATGTTGTTCGAGGGAGTTAGGCGAATTGTTTTCCTGCTGCTTCCAGGGTTTGTGCTAAGCTAGGCTAATCCTGTCATGGATCTGCTTCTGACCCCAGAGAGGATCTCATCTTCTGCCTCCAGATAAAAGAGACTGTATTTTACACGTCAGAATATTCCGCTAAATAAATAAGGTTCGTCTGTTTAAGATCGATGATGGAAAGGTTTTTAATTTACTTTGTCATAGCAGGAAATCACAAGCCATGGCAGCACATCACTCCCACCCTCATCCACCTCCACTGGTTGCCGGTCAAGTCCCGCATATCATTCAAAATCCTCCTCCTTACCTACAAGTCCCTCCATGCCCATGCCCCCCAGTACCTATCGGACATCCTTCACCCACATGCCCCACCCCGGAACCTGCGGTCCTCAGACTCTGGCCTGCTTACCACCCCCCGCACCAAACTGCGAACCTTTGGGGACAGAGCCTTCAGCGTGGCAGCCCCCACCCTCTGGAACGCTCTCCCTGCGGAGATCCGCAACATCCCCACGCTTGACGCCTTCAAAAGGGCCCTCAAGTCCCATCTGTTCACCAAGGCCTTTGGCCCCTAATCTATTTGTTGTTTTTCGTCTGTCTGACTGGTTGTCTGATTGCCTTTTGTTTTGTTATGTTTGTTTTGCCCTGTTCTTCCTTGTAAAGCGACCTTGGGTCCCATGAAAGGCGCTATATAAATCTAAGCTATTAATATTATTAAGTGAAATGGATAACAATAATGATGCGCAGGCCATTGTTGTGCATGCTGACTCTGTAACATGTCTAACTGGGCCACTTAAATGAAATAAAGCCATGATTAATCTCAATAGTCATGCCTTTGTTTACCTGCTATGACAAAATGTCTGCCATGAAAAAGGTTTCTTCACTACAATCTTTTTGGGTTAAAAATGATGTGTGATATTATATGGAATATGGGGAATGAGCGGCCATGCTAAAAATAAAGTAGCCAATTACTTGTGTTGTAAAATAGACTAACCCTCTGTGTCTCTATTAGTAAAGCCACTGTGAAGAAATTCATTTCACACATATTGTTAGATGTAGGGGATGACAGCGTACCTGTGTGCACCAGTGCCTCGATTAATGGTCCCTTCACACCCCACTTATTAAGATGTTCTCTGTGCATTGTTAAACAAAGACACAGCTTTAGTGTCAAACTGTTTCAATTTAATGAGTCGTCTTTACACCCTAACTTTTGACTGAATTGAGCTGGTACAGAAGGCTGCTGATGAGTGTGTGACTTTTTGACGTAATACTCACTCGCCAGGCCGACTGGTTAGTCATAACTCACTCCTCTGTTCTTCCCCAGCAACACGAGCAGAGAGGAGAGACAACTTGTGAAC